AGCTCCTTCAGAGACTTCCGGGGAGAAGGATACGAGTTGGAGGAGAGGAAAAGCATGGAGAAGACCATCAGCAAACACGTGGAGGCCGTGGACAAGCGGCTGGAGCAGAGCCAGCCCGAGTACAAGGCTCTTTTTAAGGAGATCTTCTCCCGCATCCAGAAGACAAAAGCAGACATCAATGCCACAAAGGTGAAAAACAAGAGCAGCAAATGAGCCCTGTCCCGCCGCAGCCCCCACGTGCTAGCCCACCAGCCGAGTCTTCTCTTTCAGCTCCAGGAAACGCTTCGTGGCCTCGCTGCTTTGAAGGTTCGAGAGGTCTCGTGTTATATTCTTGTACGGGAAGGGAGTGTCCGCAGCATAAAAGCAAGAAAACGCCACAGGGACTCAAGTTGTGTCTTTAAGCTTGGGCTCTGGGCAGCTCGTTGGAAAAAAAAAAAAAGAAATTGTACATTGTAGTTAGAGGATTTCAGAAACTGTATGATGGATCTCTGCATGAGCTGCTACCACGGCCAGACATCACAACAGCAACGGAAGCCACACCACAAACCAGAAAACCGTTCACCTCCTCCCCCCTTTTCAGCTTGTCTTACCGTCCGATTATCTGCGAGCAAAAGCCTGGATGTCCTCCAGCACTCTGCAGCAGCCGCAGCGCGGTGCTTCACAGCAGAACAGAAAAAGCCATCGGAACTTCAGGGGCTGCTCGAGAGCACCAGCCCAAGCCTCCACTTTGGTTTTATGGCTAAGAACCTACGCTTGTACCCCAGAGACCTTCACCTGACCTCTCCCCTTTCCCAAAGGGCAGTATGTTCTTGCTATTCAAGCCATTCTCTTATCAGTCAGGTTTTTCAGCTATTTACAATGCAAGCTCATTGCAACTGGAAAAACTTGAAGAGAAACATAGAACTGGTTGTTCCGTCTTCATCAGCGTTTCGTAGTAATTCAGTCCATACTCTCCAGACTTCGTAGGCATATGGGATTTCCTCGCTTTAGATCTGCCCCAGTATTTCAGCCCAGGTGAATCACTGTGCCTGGTAGGAACGTGATGACCAGGGCTTTCCCATAAGCTAGACAAGAAGTGCTATTACAGTATCAGAGACATGCTTTCATCTCGCAGCCTGGGTCCCAGCCCTCTGTGCTGTGCTATTCAAGAAGACATCATTGCCCCCATCGTAGCAAGCTCCTCCGATATAGTTTGCATGGGCTTGCAAAACTGCCTAGCAGTGACTCATGTGCAAGTAGAAGAAAAAAAGCACTATACTCGTACGGTGTCAGGAGCACGGGCCCTGGCAGTAGCGCTGATCACACATTCCCCCACGCTTTTGCTCTGAATACCTTCCCAGTCAAGAGGACAGCTTTCAGTTTTCTGCTGAAAATAACCTATCTTGGCTGAGATACCATCTCCAAAGGTTGTCACCTCTCATGTGCCAGTTCACTTTCCAGCACTGAAATCTCCTCGCTTTTGCTTCCACTGACATGCAAACACACAGCCAAAAGGCCACTGCAGACTCAGGAATCACCAGTTTCCATTTTTCATAAACTAGACGTTGACCTTGTGTGGTCAGACACGTGTTTTAGGCAGAGAAGCAGCATTTCATTACAGCTTAGGCAACACCCTGAGCACTGAGCCACAAAAATGAGCAGTTCAGTGTAAGCTACCTATTCTGTACCAGTCTGGAGAAACTTTAGGCCAGATTTGGATTTTATTTTCACCAGTTTACAACCCAAAATCATGGGTAAGTGGCTGGGATTTTTGCAACATTGACATAAATAAACCAGAATTTGGCTTTGGAGGGGAGAAGACTGTTAAAACATAACTATCCTCCGAGTCGTTGACCTTGGCACTATGAGGAGCTACCTTTCTTTTACTCGCAATGGAATTAATGCAAAAGTACCCCCTTGGCCCTCTGTATTTATTAAACTGAGTACCACTGAGGTAAGTCAGCAGGAGCGCGATGCCCGAACTGCACTCGCTCCAGAGGTCTCCTCTTCCACCCGCCCACCATCAAGCACTCCTCGCTTCCATGCTCTGCATTTCCAGGTGCCCTATGGCCCCCAGCTCGAGAAACGTTAGGAGCCATTAGCACGAGCGTGGCTACCAGCTCTGTAACAGTATGGAGAACCTTCATGCCTTATTTATTTATAATGGAAAGCAGTTGTCTAAAAAATAAATAAATAAAAACAAACAACAACAGCAACAAAAGCAGCGTCAAGTTGATTTTTCTCAGAGTATTCCCCAGTCACCGTGCTGTCACAGTACATGGCGTGACAAACACCAACGCCCTCGTACTTCAACATTTGTACTGTGGGATAGCTGAAGCAAAGTTGTTTTAAGTCAGCCAATGTTTACTCTGCAGGCATCTGGCTGTTGCATAGGTGTGGGAAGAGGATTGCCTTCACTTTCCGTTTTAAACAATAGTGTATGAATCAGCATCGCAGTTAAGTGTACATCAGATTAAATATATTTTCAAATGCTTTATTCTCTTCTCAAATAAAAAAGGAACGCCAGTATTCTCAGAGCTCAGACTTTCTTTACAGCTCTTTTTACTTTATAAGACCAGCACAAGAGTTATTTCTTTGATTTTCATGTACAATTTGGGTCAAGAAAATGCTTCAGGCTCCTCTGCAGAATGCAGAGAGAATATGCCGAACTCTACTGCTACATTATTTATATAACATACATTTTATGCACTTGGACTGCTAATGTTTGCCACATGATAAAAACACTCTTGTTAGCTCGGAAGTCTCTATAAAACTGTACAATTTCTAAGCTTGTAATTCAAATGCTATTTTTGTTTTGGTTCTTTCTTGAAAACCACACATCCAAAACCGACTGATGCAAGTAACACAATATTAGTGCTTAGCTTAACAAAGAAACAGCTGCCATATATCAGCAGTTTGCTCAGCAAAGTGCTGAGGGCATTTTTTTTTCTGCATCCAAAAATATTAGTGGCCATATATATGTCCTGATGACTGTGTGATTCAGAGTCACTTGATTTTTTTCTTAAGCGAGGCTTTCAGCAATCAAAGGAGGCAAAAATAAGCGTCTTCTGCCCTTTTATCCCACTTTGCATCTAATTTTTCTATTTACTTTGAAAAAAAAAAAAAAAGAAACAGTGAAAACTATGTAGCTCCATGTGAAGAAGTAAGAGAAGAGTACTAAGCAACTACATTGCTTACCACAGAAACTGGTCCAACAGAAAGCAGCAGCTATTTAATAGCACACCCCCATGAATCAGGGCAGAAAGAGAACAAGAATGTATTCAGTTAAAACGGGTGAGAAAAAGAACAATATAATAAGAAATAACTAATTTCAGAATTTAGCAAAAACAATTCCCCTATTCAGATCACACCGTTAAGATTAACGAGGATATACAGCTTGTCAAGAATTTGGGTTCCATCTGAATTTGTAAGATGAAATGTGGACAAGCACATTTCCATCAGATCTAGCCTGGCATCTTCCCCTACCACCAGTTTAAATAAGCCTTCAGAAAGCACCCACCATCAGAAATAGGAACGGAGCACCTAAACACAAATTCAAGGGTTTTTACAGAGCCTGAATTCTCCTGGGGAAGAACGCCCATCTCCTGATTCAGCAGTCTTCCCTGTCTTACAGGAGCTGAGACCTTCAGGAAGGTCTCTCCAAGTCCCAACGTGCTCCCACCACGCTGGCTCACTCACACAGGGAGGGACCAGTCCCTCACACACATCAGCCTTTGCTTCCCTTTTCGGGGACGGCTTGTTACAGCTCTTGCTCTCCAGGCACCAAACAGGTGAGCTGGCTTTCTAATCCAGCATCTGTATACCAAGGCAGTTCATTTCTCCAGCTCCAGTGTCGAAAGCTTGGCTCCCTATGGGCCACATCAAAGCAAGACCTTGTCATGCCAAGCCCTGTCAGGGAAAGCTCTGTTTCTAATCATCCAAGTGGAGATCATTCTGCTTTTTACGAGGGCTCTTTGGACACCTGCAGCAGCCAACAGAGTAGGAGTGCAGCAAAGCCAGAGAAGTGCCCTTGCAGACAGCTCTCGCTTCAGCTGCGTGACCTTCAAGCTCCTTCCTCAGCCCCTCTGCGCACTGCTCACGGACACCTTTCTTGGCATGAGTTAGCAGCACAATGATAATGCTGGCATGTTTAACAACAGTTGGTAAAATGACTCATCCTGCTTTGGATGTTTTACCCATCCCTCTGGCTACAAGTCGCAAACATTTACCTGTTCCCTGTTTGAAATTAAGGTCACCAGATGGCGCGAGCTGTCTCTGACAGCTCCGTTTTTTTCCTTCAAGCATTCCATTTTTGTCTGAGTTGGGTTGGCAGAAGCAGAGCAGAACCCACTCCTTTCCTACAGGCCTGTGGTGTGACACCAGAGATGGGATTAAAACAAAGCACGGGGCTGTGACCAGCACCCACCACACTGCACCCCTGGGGTCTCCGTTTCCACCTTTGGCACCCAGCTGGGATCCCCTCACGCCACACGGCCTCCATCAGCTTTAAACACCCACCTTGGCTTCGCCCCCAGGTTTCGGCAGATTGTCAGCTCCTGTCAAAACACCAACACAGCCCCAGCCCTGCTCCCAGCCCCTCCCTGACACCAGAAATAGCAGCTCCTGCCTTTGGAGCACAACCCCTCCTCACCAACCCACCGTGACGGCTCCGCCAGCAACCAGCCGAAGCCTTCCCACGACCTCACACCTCCCTGCACCCCCTTTCCCTCAGCACCTCTCTTGCAGAGGCAGAAACACGCAGGTTTATCGCAACACACCTAGAAATAAACCAGCCTCCATTAACACATATATGTTTATTTTTGCTCCTGTATACACAGCACGCTCCTGCGCCCCAAGGAGCTGACAGCAGCCACCCCGAGGTGCCCAGAGCTGCCCCTGGCCCTGCCTCCCCCCCCCCCAAACCCCAAACCCCCCAACCCCCATCCCTATCCCCCCAGCCCCAGGGCGGCCCCTCCCGTGCCCGGAACTCGGCTTGACGCGGGGGCTGTTTCCGCGGGGGCGCCTTTTCGCGGTTGCACCGCGGCGGCCAAGATGGCGGCGCGCACGCTACGGGCCCTTTGCCGGCCGCGGCTGCTGGCGGCCGGCTTCTCGCGGCGGGCGGCTGCCGGGGCCGAGTTCCGGAGCGCCTACAGCCTGGACAAGCTCTACCCGCCGCGGGGGGGCGACACCGGGGACACCGGCAGCGTCCCGGCGAGTTGGGGGCACGAAGGGGGGGGGGGGCGGAAGAGGAGCGGGGGGCGTGGCCTAACGGGAGGGGGCGTGGCCTAAAGACTGGGGGGCGTGGCCTAAAAGGGCGGGCCGCGAGGTGGGCGGGGCTTGGCTCGGTGGGCGGGGCCTGCGCCGCCTGAGGCAGATTCCCCCCCCCCCCCCCCAGAGGCTTTGGGGTCCCCCTGAGGCCGCCCCACAGCAGCCCCTGACCCCCCCCGATGCCGTTTCCAGGAGCAGGAGGCCAAGCCGCCAGCCCTCGACATCCCCATGGGTGAGTGTCCCGGCCCCACGCGCCTCAAGGTGGGGGTGCTGGGGGCGTGGGGGGTCCCCCAGGGCGGTCGTTGGTGGGAGCTGGGGGTGCCCGGTGGTGTGGGGGGGTGCCCGTGGTTGTGGGCTGAGGTGGTTGTTGCATGGGGAAGCTGCAGTGTGGCTCAGAGGGGGCAGGGTTGGTTGTGGGCTCCCACACGGGCTTTAAGAGCATCAGGAAATTACCCATTTTTACCATCCTTACAACGTAGAATAGAAACATGCATAAAAGGTAATTAAACAGACTGCTCTGTTTCCAACCCCAAAAACAGCCTGCACGCAACATGCAGAGCTAAGCGTGAAGCAGACACACCGCCGAGTAACAGGCTTCCTTCAGCCCCACACGCAGTGTTTTGGGGTACCCCTGTTCTTCCCACTGCGCTGACGGGTCCGGTCCATGTCCCTCCTCCTCACGTCGCTGCTCTTCTCTTCCAGACCGACTGACTGTATCCTACAGCCGGAGCAGCGGCCCTGGTGGGCAGAATGTTAATAAAGGTACAAAAGGGCTTCTCTGACTTAAGGAAAAAACCCAGTCTGTACCCAAGCATGAAACTTGTTTCTCTCTCTATTTGTGGTATAATAGTAGGAGCTTGAAATGAAAGAGCGCTTTTGTGCTGCCTGATGTTAACTTTTTCATTATTACTCTACATTTTTAACACAACTTTTAAGTCTTCACGTTGCCTGACACCAGAGGTAGCATATTTGGTTCTTCTAGAAGCACTCCTCATGGGGTCATTGCTGCTACATGTGCCACAGGAAACATCAATTCTGTCTAATCTGTTGTCATTAATCATACAATAAGCCACCTGGATTCTTAAACTTTCCTATGCAACAAACTGTTGGCTTAATTCAAATAACGAAGCAAAAAATACTTCTTGTTCTGCAATTGCCGTTAAAACAAAGTAGGTAGTAACTGGTAATAGCATTAAATCTCATAGTGTATAGAAATGCAAATACCATGAAAAAGTCTCCATAAAAGTTGTCTTTTGGAATGGTTTGTAATAAAAGTAGCAAGAAAAAAATGTGATCCTTCAGGTAATGCATACTAGAATCATCATATGTTCAAAGCCAGCAGTGAGCAGACTGAATTACCTCATAAATCTTAGGAAGTCAAGCCATTACGTTGAAAAAGGTCCTGTTTTTCTTCTCAGTGAATACTAAGGCAGAAGTCAGGTTCCACCTGGCATCAGCAGACTGGATCCCAGAAGCTGTGAGACAAAAAATGGCATCAATGGTAACTACCCTCTCCCTTCCAACCACTTTCTGAATTTCACTATTTCAGCCAAAACATGACAGGTAGAACGGTTTCAGTGATCACATCATGCTTTTCCCTCCTCAGCACAAAAATAAGATAAACCGAGCTGGTGAGCTGATTGTGAACTCTGAGGAGAGTCGCTACCAAATGAGGAATCTGGCGATTTGTTTAGAAAAAATCAGAGTCATGGTCACAGAGGCTACTGAGAAGCCGAAAGTGATGTCTAAGGAGACTGCACAGGAGCTCATAGCCAGGTATTGTTATCGAGATGGCCTTTATTTGATACAGGTTCAGACTTTTAACGTGACTTGGTAACAGGTACTCATTTGGATTTTCTTTTTAAAACAAAAAAACAAAACACTGGTCCACTGGACCTTAACTGCTTTCTCAGGTAACATCCCAAGAACAAGGACTGTTTTTCTGCCTGAGGACATCTGAATCTATATTGTAGCTGTGCTCACAGTTGAGTATTTATTTAAAGGCTTTCTTTGTACACTAAAAAACCTTTTCATTGTGTTTCAGGGTGGAAAAAATGAACCGTGAACGACTAAGACAGAAAAAGATACACTCGAATATAAAACAGAGCAGGAAGGCAGATTTCGACTGAGAACAGCGGAGGTGGAAGTCCTTGGCACACCACCATTTTAAGAAATATTGTTGGCAGCTGAAGATGATACTAAACTTATGAGCTGGATTGAATAAAACCTGTCCAAAAATGTAAATAAAAATAATAAACATCTTTTGAACCTAAGGATACACTGCAATAGTGTCTTTGTGTCCTTCATCCGGTCCTGTGAAGCTTTATGAGAGCACCCCCTGCTGCTGAACATGCAGTAGATTTGGGGGAAAGAGAAGGAAGAGTAAAAACATTCTAACCACAGATTTAAATAACAGAGTGTTTATCATTTCAGGCAATTGTCTCACCTTGATTAGTTGATTTTTTCCCCCCAACAGCATAGAAAGATGTCACTTTGCCAAGTTAACCTAAAGCCGTGGCAGGAATTGGACAGGAGGCAATTGGTTTTAGTACTTGAAGACAGAAACCATCTTTTAAGTATGGGAGATTTTTTAAGTATGGGAGTTTTCTGGTGTGTGAAACCCCATAAAGCCTCAGAACAAGTCTTACAAGCTTCAAGAGTGGACCTTAGCATGGAGTCCTCCCTTAGTGGACCCTGCTTAAACAGAACACCACAGCATGGTGTACCACGTCCTCTTGGCAACGGACAAGGATTACACCACCACTGGATTATGTGGTGGTGTATAAAACTGGGAAAGTCTTCATAAAAGTACTGAAATTACCCTTTTTTTCCCTATTTTGCAGGGCCCCAGTGGCCTAATGGATAAGGCACTGGCCTTCTAAGTCAGGGATTGTGGGTTCGAGTCCCACCTGGGGTGAAGAGAGGTAGAGTAATGTTTTAGGAAAGGAAAGAAAAAAAAATGAAATCCCTGAGATGGCTGCACCCATCCCACCTCTGTGCCCCCCCCCCAGTGATGGGAGCAAAGATACCACCAAATTCCCTGCAGGGGAAGGGGCAGCCACCAGTGCCCCCTCCCACAGTTGAAGATCTCTGCAGCCCCAGTCTCTCCAAGCCAGGATTTGGGGGGTGACACCTCCAGGTGAGCACTGGGGGCATTTCCATTTTGGAGGAGCAGAACAATCCCATACAAAACCTTCCACCCAGCCCAGATTCTGTGTGTTTTATGGACCAGGAGCCCTGCTCCTTGCCCCATCCCCCTGTGCCTTGATCAAGGGAACGGAGTTGAGAGCAGGGAGACAGAAAAGGAGTCGGGAGCCAAATCCTTGCACCCCCAGGGCAGGTTTTGGGGTCCCGGAGGGGAAAAGATCCACCCCAGATGGGACTCGAACCCACAATCCCTGGCTTAGGAGGCCAGTGCCTTATCCATTAGGCCACTGGGGCTGCCCAAAATCCCTCTCCCGGTGCCCTGAGTTAACTCTCTGCTGGCCGGACGGGAGCACGGCCCCATGGGGGGGTCCCGCAGAGCCCCGGGAACGGGGCCCGCTTGCTCCCGGCCCCCCCCGCAATAAAACAGAAAAGCAGGCGGGGAGGGGGAGGCTCGGCGGGGGGGTGGTTTTTTTAGCTTTTGTCCCGCCCCAGTGGCCTAATGGACAAGGCACTGGCCTCCTAAGCCAGGGATTGTGGGTTCGAGTCCCACCTGGGGTAAAAACTAAAAAAATAATTAAAAAAAAATCCCATTTACAACCCCCCCATGGACACAATCCGAGTGTTTTCTCTCCCTTTCTGCAGCTAGGAGGGGGCGATGTCCCGTCCTCCTGCCCCCAAACGGCCCCATAACTCACCAGCCCTGCCCGCAGCAGCTCGCACAGCCCCGGGGCTGAGCCCTCGCCCCTTTTATCCGCCCCAAAATCGGCCCCAGCTGCGGCTCAGCCCCGCTGCCACCCCCCCGGGACGGGGCTGCAGAGGGTCTCGGGGGTGCTGCCCTGCCGGGAAGGGGGGAAAAGGGTCCCTGGGGAATCGGCAGGGCAGATGCTGCCCCCAAAATTGCTCCAGGCCTCGAGTCGTGCCCCTCTCGCCCCTAGGATGCCCTCACGGGGGCAATTGAAGGGCTGTGGGGTCTCTTCTGGCCCTATAAAACAACCACGAAGGGACTCGAACCCTCAATCTTCTGATCCGAAGTCAGACGCCTTATCCATTAGGCCACGTGGTCCCCCATGCCCCCCATTTGGGGACACCGGCACACACCCAGGGGGTCCCCCCATGGTCCTGCCACCCCCCAGCACCCCCCAAATCCCCACCCCAGCATGGCCCCGCTACAACGCGACACCGGGATGCGATGAGCAACACCACGGGCACCTTGAAGCTCCTGCTCCCTCCTGCACAGCACCGCCAACACCTCCTGCACGCTCCTCGTGCTTCCGCTTTGCTCTTCCCCCAAACCTCTTTCTCCTCGGATCCTAAAATGGTAACCCCAAAAGCTGCAGGGCAGGGCGGGTGTTTTAACAATCTCCTGCACCCGCAAGAGGTTTACCTGTCCTTACAAAGGGTTTACCTCTTTATTTATTTATTGTTTTATTATTTTATTTATTTATCATTTCATTTATTTATTTATTATTTTATTATTATATCTATTTAACATTTTATCTATTTATTATTTTATCAATTAATTTATTTATTGTTTTATTATTTTATCTATTTATCATTTATTTAATTATTTATTATTTTATTATTTATTGTTTTATTCTTTTATTTATTCTTTTATTTATTTATTATCTTTTTTCCCGGGGGCGGGGGCTCCGCGCCAGCTGTGCGCTGGGGCCCGCGTGGCCTGGTGGGGAGGGCGCCCGACTGCGGAGCTCGGTGTGGCGGGTTCGAATCCCCGCCTAGCCCCAGCCGCTTCCCTGCACTGACTGCATCCCTGGGGGGGTCTCGTGTCCCTGCTGATTGCTCGGGATGTTTTATTCCCCCCTCCTGCACCACAGCCTTTGCCTGCCGGCTTGCAAAGCAGCTCCTCAGAAGCAGCACACGTCCAGCTTTCTGCTGCTCCCAGAGGTGGGAGAGGAGAAGAATACAGGAGAACACCGCACAGAGGGAGCCAAGAGGTCGCCTTGTTCCTGAAACAGAAGCCCCCAGGAGCCATGGGATGCTGTTCAAACTCTGGGCAGGACACAAAGCTCAGCGTGCTTTCAGTCACCCCGGTCCCAGGCAATGGCAGCCCGTGGTGAGGGCCGGCTCTCAGGGCGTGCTGCTTCCCAGGAGCAGAGCCAGATCCTCCCGCACCTAGCAGAGAGAAATTACTTGGAAAGAAACTTCGCTTTAGGTTTTGCTGCTGGGTGTCCACCTTCACACCGAAGCCTGGGGTGGTTTGCAGCAGCTCCTCGTCACTTCCCTTTCTCGTGGGATCTCAGCTTGGATCACTGGCCAGGAGCACAAACCTCCTGATCCAGGCAGTACCACCCGCATGCCTTGGCTGCTGTTGGCACAGCAAAAAAGCCTGGAGCTGCTGCGTGGATCTCGCTGCCCCCAAAAGTCTCTCCTGGTCCTCCTCTTACCCCCTGCATTCCCTCTGTGGGCACCCCCTTTACAAACTGTCTGCAGAGGGTGCGCTCAGCTGGGCCCCTTCAGCAGCTTTCCTTTATTGTGCCTGCAGAGCCCAGTTCTGGGCGCTCCCATCGCATCCATCTCCTTAATTAATTTAGGGGGATGGGAAATTCCTCCTCCCCACCCACCGCCCGCCTCTACCAGCACGCCTGGGAGCGCAGCACCGAAACGGGGAGGAAAAAAAAAAAAAGAAAAAAAAAAAAAAAAAAAAAAAACAGAAAAAAAAGACTGGAAGCACCCAAAAAGCTCACCCCAGATGGGACTCGAACCCACAATCCCTGGCTTAGGAGGCCAGTGCCTTATCCATTAGGCCACTGGGGCTGCGCAGGGGGCATGTCCCTGCCCAGCTGAACGGCCCCGACCCACAGCGGGTGGTGCAGGGGCTGTGGGACGCGTGGGTGCCCCCACGGGGGACATGGGGACACGGGTGGACACGGGGACACGCGCGGCCTCGCCTCCCTCTGCCTCCGCCACGCATCCCCCGGTGGGATGGGGGAAAGTGGGGAGCAGCCGGGAACCCCCCGTGGGGGGCGAGGAAAAGGGGAAATGGGGTGTGGGGGCACCAACCCGCGTGGGATCCGTGCCCTGAGGGGTGAAGGAAGGGGGAAAGAGGGAGAGCGATGGGAAAAAAAGGGAAAGCCGACCACGAAGGGACTCGAACCCTCAATCTTCTGATCCGAAGTCAGACGCCTTATCCATTAGGCCACGCGGTCGCTGCTGGTGCAGCCCCCACTGATGCCACCAACCCCCAGCAGCGCCCACCACGACCCCCTCCTGTATCCTGCCTCCTTCCTGCCTGCCCTCCAGCCCTCCTTCCTTCCATCCTTCCTTCCCTCTGCCCCTCCTTCCTCCTGTCCTGCCTTCCCTCTGTTCTTCCTTCCATCCTTCCTTCCTTCCCTCCATCCTTCTGTCCTCCCTTTCCTCCCTCCCTCCGTCCTTCCCCTCCTTCGTGCCTCGGAAGCCGCAGAAGATGCGGGGGCCCCACGAGGAGGGCTGATGGATGAGACAGAGACACCCTGCAAAAGGCAAACGGGGTACGCCTGTTCCCCAGCTGACACCGCAGGGGGGGGCTGAAACCCTTTGAGAGGACCCCATGGGGCCCATGCACAAGGGGGGGGTCCATGCACAAAAGCTGCCAGAGCTGGGACAGATTCACAGCTCCGGGCCTCTCACATCCCACCTGCTGCTGGGGGATGGACGGGATTTCTGGAGGACAAGTCCCAGCACCGCTCTGTGGGGTCACTGTCGTTAGCTCCGACCACCAACACCCCCCAGCCCCACTGGAAGCACAGAGATCACCCCCTCCCCATGCCCCTTCTGTCTGATTCCACCCCTGTCCCGTTTTGCACGTGCTTCCCTCCTCCTGTCCCACACAACCAGAGGCCACAGGGCTCGGGTGCCACCTCCGACATCGCAGGAGATTGGGATTTTCCAAGCACACGTTCACTGGGGCTGTTCCCCCACAAGGGAACCATCACTTCGGGTGCCTGAAGGCATCACTGGAACCACAGCAGGAGAAATAGGCAGCAGCAGAGAGGAGGAGGACTGAAGGCGAGGTGGATGGAGACGGGAAACAAAAAATCTGAGACCTTCAGCTTAACTCTGAGGACCTGGAGCAGCACAGGAGATCAGCAAGGAGGTGGAAATGGAAAATCAGCAGGTGCAAAAAAGGCTCAGTGCCCCACACCCTGGGCTGCTACGGAGCAGGACCAGGCTGCAGGGGAGCAGCCTCTCCTCTGCCCCCCCCCGCACCCCTGGTGGCACACAGGCACCAATTCCCGTTCCATTTCTGTGGGGTTGCAGCAGCCTCTGAGCCCTGTAAATGAGAGGAGATTTGCTCTTGAGTGGCTCTGGCTCCTAGCCTCCTCTCTGTGGAGAAGAGCCCTTTCTTTCCCTCTCCCTCAAATTGTTGGATTTTTTGTTTAATGACCTTCTGATTCCCTCACCACAACTAAAGACCACTCCCAAGAGCCCGCTGAGTGCATAAATCCATTAGCAAAGCCTCCCTCCCAGTGCAAATATAGAGCCCGGCTTCTGATTACAAAATCCCCATCCCTCATTAATAAATACCAAATCAACTTCCACATCACAAGTGACGTGCCCTGGGCCATCCGTAAGGGACGCGGTGCCATTCGCCTCCTTATTTGGAAGCAGGAGAAGATGCAGCGAGCTTTTATAGCTATCCTCACCCTTTCTCTTGGGACAGGTAAGTTAATGAGGGCTGGAAAAGCTTTAAGGACCTCTGTTCTGGCCTGTTTGAGAAGGGATTTCCCTGGGTTATTGACGCTTTCCATACCCACAGCTCCATACCCTCCCTCTTTGGGTACATCTCTCGTCCACAGGTCGGGACCTCTCCTGATCCTTTTCTGATTCCAGGGGATTTTTTCCCAGCAGGGGCCGTTCCCAGGTACATCTGCACGTACTACGATGTCATCGAGCACCTGAACATCACCTCCCACAGCAAGCTGCACGCGCACATACTGCCAAAGACGAACTGGAAGGAGCCTCTGGAAGTGAACATGGATTTCATGCTGATCGCTATTCTCTCTGTGGTAAGGACGCGAAGCTCCTCTCGAGTCTTTACAGCCCAGAAATGTGCAATTGCCAGGTCGAAGCCTGAGTTTTCTGCGGGGCAGGGCTGGGCCAGCAGGGCTACAGGTATGAGAATCAACCTCTTCCACTTCTTCAGCTTCCTGCTGCTTGAAAGCATTTGGGGAAGATCTGGAGGATTTTCTCTCTTCTTCTAGGAAAAAGCTGGAGAGCAGGCCCAGGCACACAGCCTGCTTCAGACCAGGCTCTAGGAAGAACTGCACTGAGTGCCTTAACTAAGCAATTCGGGCAGGATTGCAGAGCACCGGTCTGTTAATGTCAACACCTGTATTTTTCAAACCACAGGATCTGCTGCTTCACCCTGCTCTTCAGTTGTAGGACCAAGACCCTTGACCTCTCCTCCTGAGCTGGGTTTCCACAATCCTGCTGCAGGAGCAACAGTGGAGAGCTCCTGGGCTCTGCACAGGACGTAGCTAAGAAAAACCAGCTAAATCTCTCCCGTTTTGTTTCTCTAGGCTGAAAAGCTGCAGACAGTCACTTTTTATTTCGTGCTGAGCTTGGTAGGTTCCTTCAGACCGTTCCTCTCCTGTGACACCCAGCACGACTGCTGGGGCTGAGCCCAGCGCTCATCTCTCTCCTGCACCTTCTTCCCCCAGGAGTGGAGGAACGCCTTTGCGACTTGGGACCCGCAGGATTTCTGCAACATCTCCAAAATTGTTCTGCCAATGGATTCCTACTGGTCGCCCCCCATCTTCATTTTAGAACGGTAGGTCCTCCTTGCCTTTTTATCCACTGGCTCAAGAAAAATACCGTGGATGCAAACTGTTGGGAATGTTGTGGGAAATGGGATAAACTCGTTTGGGTACAAGCTGTTCCTGTAAGCTAAGTGTAACCAGGAACCTCCTGACTTGTAATAGTAGGAAGAATTTATACAAAGCACTTTGTGGCTCAGTAATGTTGTAGCATCTCCAGAAACACCCCACCTAGGCTGTAGTTAAACCTGAAGAAACATCAGGGACAAGTGCTGTAGCAGAATGAAATCACCCTTAGCAGTTTTTATAAGATAGCGGGTAGATCACTTTGGATCTAATAGAGGGTCGGGCACAGCCACAAGATCTTTGGCTGCAGGGGGAAAGGATGGGGAGGCAGCACAGCAAAGAGCCAGTGAGCCCTTTCCCCAAGTAAGAGTGGGAAGCACAAGCCCCAGGTTTCCTCTCCTTGCTGCTCTCCTGCACGCTGCTACATCCCATGGCTGTGTGACTGCACGGAGCCACCCCAAAAGGATGCCTACAGCCCAGGCTTTTGTGGGATTTAGGAGCATCGCAGCATCTTGGAGCTCCGTCACTCCCCATCTTTGTTTCCTCCAGGGTGAACGAACAGAAATCAGACTTGGAGTACATGGTTGTCAGGCACAACGGCACCTTCAACACAAGCCAGCCCTTCCAGGTTACCTTAACGTGCAGCCTGATGATCCTCAAGTTCCCCTTCGACACCCAGACGTGCAACATAAGCATCGCTTCATTTCTCTACCCAGGTACAGTGGCAAGCTAAGTTTGACCACAACGGGGCTAAATCTGCAGAAGGGATAGACGAGGTGGGCCCTGGCTGACCCTGGGTTCCCTTAGCAGCACCACACACTGCTAGGGGAGTGCTATTTCAGGGCTCCAAACTGCAATCAGAGTCCATCCCAAGAGGAAAGGTTGAAAAATAAGCAGAAGTGCCATAAAATCCCCCAAGGTGCCATCTGCAAAGGACCCATAAGGTTTCCCCTCTGGTCCACATTCGCAGAGGTGCAGCCAAGTCTCTGTACTGCAGCCCTTTTAAATTTCTCCCTCATGGACTAAGAAACCACAGCAGTGCAAGAACCACTGCCTTTCCCCATCTGCATACACCCTTGGTTGGGAGGGAAAGGGAGAGGAAATAACTAATTTTTTATACAAAACTAAATTCTGCATCTTCTCCCCTTTCCTCCCCCTTGCCCAAGCAGTAACAGACCTGGTCATGAAAATCAAACGGACGCCAGCTGAGATGATGAAAAACAGCCAGAGTTACTTCCTAACTGATGGAGAATGGAAGTTCACCAACCTGAGCATCGGTGAATACAGAGAAGGGTTGGATGACGAAGAATATCCAGTGATTGTCTACAAGGTACATTCATATTATGTTGTCCCAGTATAAAAAAATAAAATAAAAAATGAAACCAGATGGCTTTTCACGTTAGGGAATGAGCAGTCACTCAACACAGCATTATTATCTCTTACCTACATTTCTTTCACCTTCCTCGACAGATTTCCATGGAGAGACGACCGACTCTGTATGTTCTGAACCTGATCCTGCCCACGTGCGCCCTGTACCTGCTCGATATGGCTGTGCTGTTTGGACCCAGCTCCCTCGAGGAGAAAATCAGCTTCCAGATTTCTATCATCCTGGGCAGCTCCATGTTGGCCGTGATTCTCAACAACATGCTTCCTACTTCCTCCAATGAACCACCCATAATAGGTATCCACCTCTACCGAATAAAGACTAACGGATTTTTACACAAAAAGAAAGGCTACCGGGCATTTATGGACCCATAAATGATACCATTAACAGCTAAATTTTATTATTTTGCTGCAAACAGCGATTTCCCCCTTCCTCACAACCCAAGTGAACACAGGCAGGATTACAGATTCAAGAAAATGGTGCCAATTAACAAATGTTTTCTTTGTTTTCCTCTTGTTCTGCAGTGATATTCTTCTTAGGCACCTTCCTGTTAATGATCATGGCTGTGTTAGACACCTTCTTCCTGCTGCACCAGCAGCACAAATCCCTACGCTTAGACAAGGCTCTCAGAAGCATCCAGCAAGGTAAATAAAATAAAATAAATTCGGAGCTAAGTAGTCCAGGCTAGCTGAACTTCAGGTTGTCATTCACAACCGCCCTGCTCCGACATCTGTTCTTCGCAGGCGTGCACACCAAGCTGGCAACGACAGAGGCCAACAACCAGGCCACGAAGCACCTCGCCAAGAAGAGCCAGGAAAAAGGGCAGCAAGCCAAGCCCCACTGGAAACCACAGGAGCAGGACCCCGTTCTGCCAGTCCTGGAGAAGGTGCTTCTCTACAGTCACTTATTCTTGTCACTCTTTTTTTTTGCTGTTATTTCTATAAAATGGAGCAGCTAGGGGCCAGCTCTGTGTTACGCTCATTCAGTCGTTCTCAATTTTATTGTTTCTAATCCCTCCACTGTCTTGTTTTTTTCTCCTGCTTGATTCATAGAACTGCAGATGTTTCAGTTGCCTAAATTTAAAACAAACAAACAAACAAACCAGGGCATAAGATGGGCATGGTTCCTGCTGTGTACTCTAGTTCAGTAGAACTACACATGTTCTTGCAGTGCTCTGTGGGCTAGCGAAGTACCTGTACAAAACACTAGTGGAATCAGGGGACAGAACCTTCCTTCCATCAGACAGTAATTCTTACAACCACACGCCCCTTATGATAGGAAAAGGGAATTAATGTCCTTTTTTGTCATGGAGATGTTTCCGTTCTGAGGAAAGGTGGTTAAGAGTTCCACCTTAGGTAATTAAATAAATCAATGCAAGTACAAAGCCTCTGTTGTATTGTTTTTGTAATTACTGAGGTCTGCATCATTCAGAAATCCAAGACAGAGAACAGTAGGATAACCAGGATTAATGGGGTGAAGTTTTTCAATATCAAACTTCTGAACCTATTCTCATTTACAAACCTTCAAATCCTACTGCAGTTGACTCCACCTAAACCATCTCAACTAGAAACCAGCCCCATACCACTGCCCACAAAACTGAGGGATACCTCCTGCTGCACCATGGAGTGTAAATCCATCTCCTGAGCAAGAACTCATCTGCACAGGCTACAAACAAGCAGAAGCTCGATACTGATCTACATTCCCAGCACTGCGTGGTTACAGCGGGGAACGGACGGCTTGCTTGTGTTACAGATGCTGCACCAGGTTGTATCGTCAGGTTCTGGGATCTCGGTACTTGCTACAGAAATCAAGTCCGCAGGTAAATGAGAAAATCCAGGAACACCAGCCCCTTTGCACACCCACCTACAGTTCTGCGTTTCCCAACACCTTGCAACCTCATATCTAAGATTTGAGCCACAGACAGGAGGGGGAATACTTTATTTAGATCACAGAATCTGACAGTCGTTTGACAAACCGCTTCCAGACCAGCTTACAGATCAGCAATCGGTCTGTGAGGCCAGAACGGGTTCTTCTCCATATCCAGTTTGGTTTCAGGGAAGGCTTCAGCCATGTCTTCATTTGTCATTTGTTCAAAGGGAATCATGCTTTTGAGCTTCTGAAGCTTGAAGTGGGAGCAGAGACAAAAGTGTTACAAGTCACTTCTCAGCAGGAAAGAGCAAAGCACACAGAGGACAGAACAAGGTGCAAGCGAGGCAGGATTTAAGAGAATATTCAGCAAACAACGCCCAGACTTACGTGCTGTTCATACTGGGCAATCCGAGCTTTGGAAGCTTGCACATACTCGGCGGTGTTCTTTGCCTGCAGGACAGCAAAGGATGTGGGGAACACGGTTATGCTCAAGGACGACAACCTGAAGCGAGCCTGCAAGCCCACACACTGAGTTTGCAGTAAAATTTAGTATCCTGACTCAAGGTAAACCAACAAAATCTTGATCAAACCCCAAACAGCCAAACCCTCCCCAGTGCAGAGATTTTGCTGAGCCAAAAGCCTGCAAAGACCAGAGCTGTGCTCTGTCTCAGGCTGCCCTGCCTAGGCAGACGACCACGCGGAACACACCTTCCTTCTTGCCCCTTCCCAGCAGAAGTCAGAGACAAGCCCAGCATCCAGGCACAGCATCAATACTTACAGCTTCCTGCTCCTGGGCATCAATTTTAGCAGTTTGCGTGTCCACTGGCTCAGGAACCTTCAGTGCACTGAACTGTAAATTGAAGGAGAAATCTTTAAATGGTTTGTTTGCTTGAAATAATCCTTCACACCAAGGTCACTGTCCCTAGCAGCAGGAAGGTGTTCCCTTCTTTCTTCCTAAGACACTCTCACAAGTGTGAGTTAACGAGCTTTCTAAAACTGATCCCTGCACCTTGAACGTGTACTTCCCAGGCAGCACTGCTCCCCGGGATGCTTCAAGGAACCTTTTCTGAAGTGCGCAGCATCACCAGGGCACACAATGCTCTTACATTCATCACAGCACTACGCAGAGCAAAGCACAGCATCATGAGGAAGCGAGGAAGTCTAACACCTCAGACTCATCCTGTCACAGGCAGATTTTCCCCAAGACAAAGTTTCCAGATCCAGCTGAGGTCTGTGGGCCCTTGCAGTCTCACAGCAGCCAGTTTCCCTGCCACCAGCGACAGCGTGTGACCTTCAGCAGGAGCCTCTCTTGTTCCTGGGGGTACGGCAACCCCTGCAGGCACCAGTCAGCTCTGCACTTCCCCTAGCCAGACCTGCGCTTGTCACCGACCGTTTGCTCCAGGAGAGGCATCACCTGAGCCCACTCCTGCAGGCAAAAGGATGTTATCGAGTTTTCCTTCACAGCCTTCTCACCATACAGCACCACAGCTCTCACCCTAACAGTCAGCACTGAAGTGACCTCCTCAAGGTGAGCAACACCAACTGCAGAGCACGAAGCAAGGGATCCTACCAGAACTGGAAACACCTCGATTCTGGCATTTCCCACTCCAAGACATTTCCCATATAGGCCTCTGAAGAAAAGCAACGCGCAGGCTGACAGAGGTACTGACCTTCTTCTGGAACTCGTCCACCATGCCAGCTTTCGCAATGGCAGCCTTGTAGTGAGCCCAGTCGATGGTGGGGGGCTTCTCCGGCAGGCTGGCCAGCCTAAAGAGACAGGGGACTGCAGTCACCTCACGCTGTCATTTGCTCTCTGCCAGAATTACTTTTCAGAGAGTTAACAGAGCCTGCTGAGCTTAACTGCAAATATCTCCGGTTCTCTCCTTAATAACACAGAGCCAGCCCTGCAGATTCCCCCACCTTTGAAATAGATTTCTCTGTATGGCCAAGGCAAATACAGCCTGTGGCCCTGCTGCTGGCAGCACCTGGATGCAGCCCTTGCAGGAGAGCTGGGCGGTTTTCACTGCGCTAACTCAGTGTCAGGCAGCGACACCACCTGCAACAGCCCCCAAACACCATGCAGGGGACGCCAAAACACCCGACAAAACCCATCCATTTTCCATCTTGAAGACGACCCATTTTAACATCCCCTGGAGCATTTTGTAACGCCATAATTACAGCCACCAGCTCAAGCTGGGCCCGCAGCGGCTGCACAACCCAGCGGGGCTCCGAGTGGCCGCGGGGCCGGCACTCACCGTGCTGACAGCGCGTCGCTGCGGGTCTTCAGGGCGTTGAACATGGCCCGCTGGTTGGCCGGCACCCGCTCGGCGAAGGCGGCCCAGTCGATGGCCTTGAGAGCAGCTCTGCGGCCCGCCATGCTGCGCCTGAGGGACAAGGGGGGGGAGACAGCGGCTGGGGGGGGGCCGGGACAAGGCCCAGAACCGGGAGGGGGAGACCTGGGACCGGGGGGGGGGTGATCGGGAGGGACCGGGGGGGGACACGGGACAGGGCCCGGGATCAGGGGGGTGCTGAGGGGGCGCTTGGGGCCCCCCCCGGCGGCGCCCGCTGCCCTCAGCCCCCCCCGGCCCCGCTCACCTTGAGCCGCGCCCGCCGTCCCCTGCCGAGCACCGCGCCGGAAGTCCCGCCCCCTCCCCTCCCTCCGGTTCCGCTTCCGGTTCCGCCAGCGGAAACCGGAAGCGGCGGGCGGTGATGGCGGCGGGGCGGCGCTGAGCGGGGCCGGGCATGGCGGAGCTGGCGGCGGCCGAGGGCCCCCCCCGGGGCCGCACCCCCAGCCCCGGCCCCGCTCCGGTTGCCGGGGGGGTCCCGGGACCGCCCAGCCCCCGTTCGGCCGCTCCGGGGGTTTCGGGAACGGGCCCGGCCGCCTCCAAGTGGGTGCGGCTGAACGTGGGCGGCACGTACTTCGTCAGCACCCGGCAGACGCTGTGCAGGGAGCCCAAATCCTTCCTCTGCCGCCTCTGCTGCCAGGACGGGCCCGAGCTGGGCTCCGACAAGGTGAGGGGGAGGCGGCGGGGCCGGTGTTGGAGCCCCCGCCGGGTACCGTGAGGGGTTGGCAGGGGGTCGGTGGTTGTGGCTGCGGGGCACGGTGAGGGCTGGGCAGGGGGATGGGGGTGGTGGGATCCGCCCCACAGGGCGCTGGAGGCAGTTTGTGGGGTCAGGCCGAGAGGTGCTGAGGTCCCCTGCTGCTTAAGGGCTTACCTGGAAGGTGAAACCTCCCCGGAACAAAACCTCCTCGTGGCCACAGCCATCACCGCCCTCAGCAAACAAAGGAGGTGAGCACAGAGTCATTAAAGTCAGAGAAGCCCTCCAAGATCTGGTCCAGCCCTCCCCCTGCCACCCACATCACCCCCAAGCACCACATCCCCAAGACCTCACATTTTTTTGTCACTTTAAAGCAGCCTGCATCAGACACTGCTTTAGGGAGATGATGTGGCAGCCTCCTGCACAGCCTCTGTCAGCCCTTCCAGGCTGGTTCGGGAGATACTTTCAGTCATGAGCTGTTGGGGAGCTGATGACATTAGTTGTTGCATGCCAGCCTGCCAGACACCGCTCGGAGACAGGGCTGGTGCGCTGCAATTTGCATTTTTAGTAGTAGGAAGAAAAACAAACCCCTCCTTTAAAGTTTAACTATCATATGCTGTTTACCAGAACTGGAAATGCATTTTTTTTCTAGATATACTAGTCTGGAAAACAAGATTAGACAGAGCATGAACACCAGGTTTGTGTTTTTATTATTGCAGTGAAGAAAAACTGCTAAGCGCTGCTTTTCCCTTTGGTTATATGAACTCTGTTCATAGAAGTACTTCATGTGAGGCATCTGCCAGCACCATCAAGCTGCAACAGTTGTGGCTGGGTTCAGGTACTGAAAAAAATGTTGGATAAAGCCTGGGGTCACAAATTCAACCTTTACAGGCAAAGGAGTCGGTGTTCTCATAGAAAAACTGTTCTATTTGTCATTTTCAAATGAATTTTTTTCTAGTACCATTTAACTCTGCCTGCTTCCTTCCTGCGCACACTCTACAGGATGAGACAGGCGCGTATCTCATCGATAGAGACCCCACCTATTTTGGCCCAATACTGAACTACCTCCGCCACGGGAAGCTTATCATAAACAAGGAGCTCGCAGAAGAAGGTAAGAGAAAAACTTCCCAGCAGTACTTCTGGCCTTTAGTTTCCCAGAAGGATGCTCGTTAAAAGGGATTAAATCATTAAATTCTGCATCCTCCTGGAAGCAGAGGCCTCTGGTTTATGGTACAGCCCATCACTGCTCTGCTACCAGAAGCCTTTGAGCTAAGCAGAGGAAACGATCTGATAGAACATCTGCCCCCACAGACAGCAGTAACAGCAGCTCTGCACGAGCAGGCAGCTTTGGTGACTTCCCCTTAGAGAGGGAACACCGCAGAGATTGTGCCATGAGGTTTCTGATAAGCCCAAGGAAAGGGGGATGATCTTTAAGTGCCCTGTAAGTCCCCAAAGGAGGTGACAGCTCCCTTCGAGCCTGGAAATGTGAGATCAGTGGCAGTCATATTCAGCACCTGGAGATTTGCTTACACATGGGTGACATTTGGAGTCAGCAACAGGTGTTGCATCCTTGTAGCTGAATCATCTTCACTCCGCCCTGCATAAAGGAACAGAATTTGTCTCTGCTTTTTGTTCCCTTCTTAGGGGTCCTGGAAGAAGCCGAGTTCTACAATATCGCATCTCTCGTGCGACTGGTGAAGGAGCGGATACGGGATAACGAGAACAGAACCTCTCAAGTAATGCACACAAAATTTACCTTCTGAAGTCAGGCGGTTTCCGTAGCGTAGTAGAATGTGTGGCTGCAGGCACTTCCAGTAGCAATTTTTAGCTTAGTTGTCTTTAACAGCAGGAACCCTTGTTTTTAGTGAGATCCAAGGCACAGCTAGGAACAAGTATCCAATACGGCTTCACAAGAACAGGCCGGTCATCTTGTTAACGCTGCAGGGAAAGGCAATGAACGGTTAAATAAGAGGGACTGGGAGCAAAGATGGGGAATTACAAACCAAAACACACAGCTTCAGGAGGTAAAGAATAGTTCAGTTCTTCTCCAAACTGTTTTCTGCCCTGTACTGCTGTCCTTTTGTGGCAATTTTTCCTGTTACTGATATTAACATACTCAGGAGATTCAATTTCAGAAGGGAAACATTCTCTAAAAGCAGTAAATGGCTTTGAAAACAAAAGTGTTGCTTTCAGTTGCATTTAGGCACCTGGAAGGCTTTTAAGAGAAGGGTACCAACTGTACGTGCCCGTTTTAGAATTGGTTGGATAGTCACAAAAATAAAACCTCAGTCCATGTGGCTCAGCCTTCCTCAGATAACACAGAGCAGGACACTCCATTAATTTAGGCTAATTAGTTTCCTCGCTTGATACCAGTGCAACAATTATTAAACTCCTACTTGTTTTTCTTCTCCATGCTTTAGGGACCTGTGAAGCACGTGTACAGAGTCCTGCAGTGCCAAGAGGAGGAGCTCACACAGATGGTGTCCACGATGTCTGATGGGTGGAAATTTGAACAGGTACCCATAAGCAGGCTGACTCGAGCAGCCGTCTGGTTTTGTAGGATAACTGAAATGTGCTAACTTAAAAGGAAATACATTCTTCTACCCACCCATGATTCAGTAGTTTGGGAAATCTACCAAAATACCATGCGTTTGTTGAGTAAACAGCGGTGAGTGGTGTGAAGTATCCAACAGCTGAAAGGTCAAGGCAGCAGGGGAACAAAAAAAAAAGTTTTGTGTGGCTATCTTTCGTCCTTAACACAAACAAAATCCTATTAACTGTATGTCAGGTCAGTAATGACAGCCCCCAAGTCTTGCTACAGCAAAACTGTATCAGTAGTCATCTGTCTGGGAAGGTTGCTGACTGAATGTGCCCCATAAACATGAAGCTCTCTTAAAATCCATGACAACGTGGAAGCTAGGGTGCACACCACACATTAAAGTTTCCTGGATATACACAGCTGATAAGAACCACATTGCTCTCTTCAGATTTTTTAGGTTTACTATCTGGAAAGCAGAACAGAGTTGTAAAAGACAGATTAGCGCTGCACTCTAGGATGTCCTTTTAATGTAATAATGATAAATATGAGACAGATGGGATTTCTTGGATCGAGTCCAGACCTCTCATAACAGTAATATAACAATCCTATTTATGCAGATACCAAATTCCATCCCGATGGCTCCTATGCAAAGAGTGGTGCCAGTTTGCTACGCGTCCCTTAGTTAATCTAACATTTGCCTGTGGTAAGGAATTGCCTTTCCAGTGATTATACATCAAAGTCAGAAGGCCAGATTTGAGACAAGTTCAACACAGACATACAGTCTGCATCAGGAAGCCTGGACCAAGAGTCTGCACTGCCCTGCCCTTATCTGAATGAGGCATTATATATTGCAAAGCCTGATGCATTTATTTTTATTCTTTCTGCCCTCAATGTTTGGGAAATGTGTTCACGATTACAGATTTCTTCGTGAGGCTCCAGGTGCCACTAGAGGGCTCTGGAGCTTTTCTAAGTCTGCCTTTCAAAGGCACAGGAAAGCCTGTGACACAGGAGGGTGCTGGAAGGGGTTTGGCTTGTTGACACTTCAGGTCAGAACAGGTCTCCCTGGCCAGCTGTAGCTCACAAAGCAATTGCAGGAATAAAGCAAAAAGTCAAGACTTGTTGATGGTCCCTACCTTGGCTGTCTCCTGTTGCACAGCTAATCAGCATTGGATCTTCCTATAACTACGGAAACGAAGACCAGGCAGAATTCCTCTGTGTCGTGTCCAGGGAACTCAACAATTCCACCAACGGCATTGTCAAAGAGCCCAGTGAGAAGGCAAAGGTAAGGCATCTGCTCGGGCCTATTGACTTGGATCCTCCCGTGCTAAGAAGAACCCTTCTGACACGAGCAGATCCATGATCTGTGGTAGCAGTTCTGTGTACCAGCTTGCCTATTTCCCCCCCGTGTGCATGAGCTTACCTTACTAAAAGATTTCCTGGCTTACTGTACATTTCAAATTAAGGAAGTTCCAGCTGAATGTGAAAGGGAAGTTCTGGTAGAACACGGGGGCACTTCTTTAGTGTGACAGAGCACTGGAACAGGTCACCCAGAGAGGTTGTGGAGTCTCCTTCTCTGGAGACACTCAAAACCCACCTGGCTACCATCCTGCACAACAGGCTCTAGGTGATCCTGCTCGGCAGAGGGGTTGGACTGGATGATCTTCAGAGGTCCCCTCCAACCTCGGCCACTTTGTAATTCTGTAAGAAAGAAAAAAATAGAGGAAAGACCTGAAAAAGGGGGACATCATAGCAATGACTGTTGAGATTGGTCACATTTTGTGGTTGAAGCATGCTGTAGGGAAGAGACAGACACTTTTTTCTACCTCAGTCCATTTTTCCCCAGGATAGCAACTGCAGTTTATATTCTTAACTCCTGGAAGGCAGCTAAGCAGGGTTTCTAGAGAAGGGTCTCGGTTTTAACCAGCTTGCCATTCATTACAGTAGCATAAAAGCTAGCAAGGTGCTCTCATTCCTTCTCTTGTTAGTCCATCTTGCCTTTGCAAAACTCTGAAAAAAAAAAATTCAAAATAAGAACTTACGCATCTGAAATTGTCTAAATTATTTAAATTCTCTTTTTTTTTTTTCAGATTCTTCAAGAGCGAGGATCCCGGATGTAATTCAAGTGTCTACTCCTCTAAAAATCCCAGATGTCAAAAGGGCAATCTAGCTGGGCAGAGCATCTCTCCGCAGTGCAACCTTGCCCCTGTACAGTAACCAAGCTAACACAAAGCCGAGCCTGTCCTGCCAATGGCGAGTACTTCTGGTCAGAACCAAAGGCTTCCCTCCTTCTCTGGAAACCAAGAAAAGAAGAGACTCTTCCAGTTGGATAGTCCTTTCTACAAGTATCCATTTTATTTTCTTGGCCAGCGCTGTATTGAATTTTTCCAACAATGGCTGGGCTGGATTCCCAGATGGAGCCTTTGCAAAGGTTGCTCAGGTCCCCAGGCCCTCGTAGTCAGTCCCACCTTGCGCAGGCTGCCACGGGTGGGAGGATCTGTTTGAGCTGTGCCATTTCTTGCACCCAGGTCTACCACCACCAGAAAAGTGCAAGGACCTTGCAACGCTCCCCCTCCTGATCAGCCACCCCCCACACACAGATCAGAACAGGGTTTTAAAAGGAGGAACAAAGCAACCAATTGTAAAAAGAAAAACACTTTTTTCATTCTTGCTTTGTATTTGTTCCTTGTTCCATTCCTAAGAGCTGAGTTTAGATACTAAGGGGAGGGGAGTTGTGTGTACATCCAACGTGGGTCATGCTGTTAATGCTATTACGTATGGGCTCCTGGCATTTTCCAAAGCCCGTTGCTTCTCATGCATAAAAAGAGACCCGTGTTCACCCAGAGTGGTGGTAGAATAATAGTTCTGTCCTGTACGCTTCTCTGTTGAAGAAGAGTGGCAACATCTTTTCCCCTTTGCTACCTTGCCATGACCATATCTTAGCCTGGTACAAAGTCACAAGTTTAGGGACTTGTTGCTGCCAAGTTCAGCTTTGCCTTGTTTGTCTCCAGCAGCATGAGCTCCACTGCCTTCCTTCTCACCAGAGTACTTAGGGCAGAATTTCTTTTGTACTGTAGCAAGCAGGTAGGTTTGTTTTCACCCACGAGATTCTTTGCGGAAGAGATCCCCTATTTACACCCAATGATTTATCTGCGGCCCCCTCGTGTATCCACCTTCAAGAGACCACCTCAAATTACAGAGGGGCATCACAGAGCTGGGGAGGGGTGGTGGTGGTGAAAAGTTGCCAAACTGTTGTAATGTTTCTTGTCCAAAGTGGCGTATCGACTTCTGTGACTTTTTTTTTTTTGGAATGCCTTGGATGGATGTGCAAAATGTTTGTTTGTGCCTCTGGAATCTAATCTTAGCCAAACTGCAGTCACTGCTTCTCCTCTGTTAACCTGTGCCATCCCTAACCAAGGGCATGTCCCTCCTTGTCTGGTAAATGGAATTTCTTAGGAATTCACTGCTGCATGTTTTTCTCCTTTCATCCTGGCTTTGTTCTTTGTAGCCTAAGTGTCCTGGTATTTGGGTCTTTTGAGTCAAGTCCCAAACTGACAGTAAACGCAAAGCTTCAGAGATGCTGGAATTCACAGACATTGCTCAGAGCAGGTGATTCTCAGTAAAGTATCAGAAAATTCCTCACCTGGACTGAGGAGCCGGGCTTCTTCCTGGAGGAATTCAGCTACCTGTGGTCTCCTTGAAGTGTTAAGATAGAAACAGGCGTTTCCCACCTGATCACTTACTGCTGGCAGGGCTACCCTCAAGGGTAGCAGAACATTACTAAAGGCCTGACAGCCAGTTCAGCAGCAAAGGCACTGAGCAACACTGCTGCACTTGGCCTCTTTTCAGTCCTTCTGTATGTACACTGACCTGGCCTTTCCCATCCTTCTTTGCCAATATACCTCCTCCTCTGGAGGTTCTGCCTCCTTCTCAAGAGTGACTGGTCAATTATCTGTGCTAGTTTAATCCTGGTAGCAAGAGACCATGCCAAATGTCTTTGAATTCACATCGTGTCAGTTACAGGCTGTTGAAACGCAGCTGGCTTGCCATCATGCTGAGAAGCCAGCTCTCCTTCTCTCCATCTTCCCTGTTTCTAATGTATTGAGATGATATTGGTGTGATTAGACCACACGCCTTGGCTGGGCCTAAATAACACTGTGATGTGTATAGATATCTCTCCTCTGTCAGTATCTCGTAGCCTCAGTCATTGTCCATCTGTGCTCACAGCTGAGAAATCCAGAAGTGCATGTATGCAAGTTAACAGCCTAAAAAGCCCTCTGACTCTCACATTCATCTGTCTTCTCTCCCTTCCTTGGAGGAGGGAGTCTCCAGGAACTGGTCAAGAAATAGCAAACTAAAGGCAACAGGAACTGCTTGAGCCGCATTTGTCACATCAGTGCCAGCTGAGCACCTTCCTGTTCAAACCGTGGAGCTCACAGCAACGCTAGCGATCGTGTGAAGGGAGACGTTCTGTCCAGTACAGCTCAAGTAGATAAAATACCTCGTTGCTTCTTTTGTATCTCCAAAAGCACCATACGTGTTGAAGCCCACCAGAAGACTGCCTGATGCAAGAGCGATACCATCACTCTCCCCACCGAGCCAGAGAGAGCCTAAGAACTACCACTACCAGTTGAGTGGAATGGTTGTTTAACCGATACACAGGACAGACTATCAGCGTTGCATCTTGGTTCTCCAGGGGAAGATTGAAGTCCCCTTGGCTTCAATTGCGTGGTCTTTCAGTGCAACAAAAAGAGTTAACAGTAGGAAAATGATCTGGTTGTTACTGGACACTCAACTTCTTGTGCGATATTTAGGACCAGGCATGAAATCCATCCCAGAAGGTCCATTCCCAGTGGAGGATTTCTTTGCTGACTGTGCTAAGTCACCTTTGCCCTGAGACCAGGGGCTGGTCTCAGCATTATGCACAAGTTGCATCCCTTCTGTGCTCAAGACAGGGCTTCTCCTTCTGTTGCCTTTCACTCAGTCACAACTATATAAAAACCATCACTGAATTAAGAATAAATTTGTCCCATTCACTCTTAAAAAAAAAAAGAAATAGCATGTTGTGAGTAGGGTGAGTGAGCAAGGGTAGAGCTACTGGATATCCAAGAGTGCTTGCATCTCTTGGGAAGGTTCACTTGAGAGCATTAATCCTAGGAACAGAGAGCATGACCTTTTGATTTTTTTTTTTTTTTACACTTTCCCAGTGGCCTAAATTGTTCCATTATGGCAAGACTGGAAATAACCTCTTGAAGTGTCTTTGTTTCTGCACATTTTTAAAAATAGATTTTCTCAGGGGTGACTGAGTGGGCTGAGGCCAAGGGGGCACGGTTCGCTGCAGGGTGACGGGACTGAGCAGCTCCCCAGTCCTGCAGCTGGGCCGTGGGCTCCTCCCCTCAGGTTTGCCTGCAAACCCGGAGGTTTTGTACAGTTTGTCACGTGTCAGTGCCCTTTGCTACTGTTTCTCTTTGTTTATTAAATGTGTTTGAATAACACTTGAGATGCTGTGATTAATTTTTTTTTTTTTTCAAATAAAGATTCTGAAATGGGTTTGAAAAGTTTGAAGAAACAGTCTGCAGCCTGCTGCTTTCTTTGCATCCATTTGCAACTTTCCACAGCAACACTACGTTATAGGGGAAGAAACAAGTTAGGAACCTGCATCTGGCTCCAATTCATTTATAACACTGATTTGCCAAGAGGAAAATCCAATTAGATTTAAGAATCCTTCTTGGTTACTTTCAGAGAACAAAGGCAAAAATCAAAGCACTTCTCTGATTTTCTCTTACACAAAAGAATCTGAACTACGTACATTTTACCACTTCCACTGACACCCACAAACAAGCAGGTTGTTAATACAAGCATTAAACATGAGCCACTAAGAAAGGATGAGGATTATTATGTCTTTTCATTTGCTAAACCTGTACTTGACTGCTCCAGCATGCATGGCAGAAAGGTCTGATGGTTTGGCAGCTTTGCCCCTTCCTGTCTCACAAAAGGCCTTCCCTGAACATCTGCAGAAGCTTGCAAACAACTCTCTGCCTTCCCACTCAAGGCCAAAGATAGAGCATTCTTGCCATCACCAAGACAAAAGCAGAACAAACTTGAGGGGGGAAAAAGAAAAAAAAAAAACAAAAAAAACACACATTTACAGTTTCTTAAGAGCTTTCCCTTGTGTTCTGAGCCTGCAACTGTTTGCTGGGAGAGAAAGTGCCCCGGGCATGTAGAATTTGCTCTGAAACCCTGGAGGGCATTTTAAACATTTGATCTACCTCCACCCTGAACGCAGCCTTCCCTGTGTGTCTTTAGCAAGACAGGGGATTAGCTGGGATTCAGATTTCCTGTTTACAGAGCACTGCAACTCAAAAACGTGTGAAACAGAAGTACCAGCGGATGGGCGAGCAGCAGGGAGGTCAGGAGACAAAACCTTCAAGCTTTGGTGATGCTGAATTGTAGATAAGGGTGCCCATTCCTCAATACAGGGGTGGGAAAGGAGGAGGAGCAAAGATCTAAGTGAAGAATGGGTGAAAATGAAGTTACTTTGGACCACAAATAGCTGTTGCCTGCTGCAGCTGCTCTGAAGGCTGCCCCGGGCACGCTCCCTGCTTCCAGTTCTTCCCACTGTGGCAGAAGCCCCAAAGCAAGGAGCAGGGAAGGGCTGGCACATCCCCAACCTGGGGTTTAATACTGGAGCTATGTGAGATGAGACATTCTCTCCCCCATGACACCACAAAAGAGAGCTTAATGGCATGCAGGGGAAAGCAGAAAGCACAGCTGAGCCACCTCACCGCTTCACATGAGTTGATTTAGGACACTGCCTGTCCTTTAAAGCCACGTAGGTCAGAAAAGGCTTTGAACAGGACTCTGAACCGGCCCCGGGTCCGCCAGCTGGTCCCTCACAACACCTAGAGCAACGCTTCAGCGCCGTGCCGGAGACACCGGCGTCACTCGGCAGTTTCTGTGGAAACCGCCATCAGCAGCAGCCAGGCCTCTGTGCCATCGCTCGCTTTCCCAGCCAAAGCTGTGCAACACACAGAGTTCCTCCTAAAAAAAGTAAAAATCTTTTTTTCCCCCTTCTTGCTACAGAGAACTGAGGCAATACCCAGCATAACCAAGCAGCAGGAGGTCGTGCTGGACGGGCAGCAGCACGGCATTACCCCACCCCAATAAATTGGGCCTCACACACCACCTCCTAACGAGCAGCCCCTGCTGCTCCCAGGGGCTCAGCTCTTCCTGCCCCCCATCCCCAGGTGGCTCCAAGCAGCAGAAGGGGCAGAGGGAGCCACTCTGCAACAGACCTGTGGCAGAGGGACTTCCAAACCCCCCTTGAGCAGCATTTTCTGCATTTAAAGGGTACAAACTGGGCACTCCCACACCCCTCCTCCTCTGAAAAACACACAGAAACCCTCTGGCTACCACGCTGCATCTGGGGCCTGCTGGCTCCCCGGGGCCAGGCTCACCTCGCTGCAGCACACGAAGCTCCGTTAGTCACCCGGCTGGCAGCTCCACTCGCCTCTGCCAGTTTTGCCCAGAGCACAATTCATTTGTTTTTCTGCCCTGCCTGCTCACGTCTGTGGACAAAGAGGAAACCCAATCTGACACCGAAGATATGGAAGGGTTTTTAGCAGCCGAGGCATCTATCAGCATCCAGCTTCTTGGCCTGGAGCTCCAGCAAAAAAGGAGTGGAAAACCACAGCTGCATTTCTCCTCTCCGCACGTGTCTGGGAGGGTGAAACCCAGCAGCACAGAGGCCTGGCCACAGCCATGAGCACATCCTGCACAGCGCCCACGCTCTGCCTCAGGCCCTCGACAAAGATCAGCCTGCTGCTCACCCACACACCTTCACCCTGAAGTCATCGGGCCAGATCTATTTGCAGACAGAAAACCTGTAGATATTTGTAACCCAGCTTACTAACTTGTTTGGGAAACAAGGACCTTAGTTGTCTCTACCTAGATCTAGTTTTGAGACAGTCACTGAAGGTTTAAACCCAATTTGTCTGGGCAAACAACCCCCACGTACCTGATCCTGTTTAGAGAAGCATGTTGGCTTCTCCAAAGCACGGTGAAGGAGCTGTAATCCCCTAGCAATTGCCTTCAGGTGTGGTATCATAGTTGAGCAAAGGCATTGATATTTGCCCCTCTGGCAACATTCCCTATTGCAGGTCCCCATCCTTCCTATAAGTTCCCCAAACTTCACCATATTCAAGTTCATCATCAGTCCAAAATGTAACGATTCCTCACATTTCATGGGCCTCAAACAGCTCCTCGGGGAGCTGAGGGTTCAGCTGGCAGTGGCTGGCCTCCGTGTCACACAGAAAACCCTCGGGACAAGTGAGCACTTTCTACCTGTGATTTAGCTCAGGGCAATCAGGGCAGCAGGTCCTTCAGCAAGGCCAGGACAACATGCACCAGTGGTCTCGATGAATTCAAACAGCAGTGGCTAAAAATGAGGAAAGCCAGAGCTGATGTGGGAAAGGAGCAGTCCCAGGTTCCACCCTCCAGTGGTACTTTGATGCATTAACTTTCTTGCAGCTGGCTGTCAATACATCCCATCCTCCCACCCAAGCACTAAGCCATGACATCCCTGCAGACAAGATTCTTTGCTATTTAAGGATTCACAGCTACTAACAAAGGACCCAGTCTGTATTCCCTGCATCTTACCTGCAGACAGAGCAGGCAGCTGGCACACCGCATCTCTGCGTAACCTAACACGAAGGGAAATAGGGCTGGTGGTGGGAGTGCAAGGTACCCAGGTAAGCAGGCAACCCAAAATGAAAGCAATGCCTGCCATCCTCCCCAAAAAGGGCTGTTCCCCTGCCAGCATCCACCCCATAGCTGCCAGCAGCAGTATGTACACCTAACTCAAGCAGCCAGCCAGAGGGAAACGCTTCTCTTGATCCCTCCCTAAGTGGCTTATTCCCCATCGATATAAAACCAAGGGGGACAACAATTAAGAGCTTGGTAGATAAGATCTGCTGCAGGGAAAATCCCCCTAGCCACTGCTCAGTGCTCTGGACATCAACCTAAAGCAGAGACAGGATGCACAGGACTGGGATCTCATCCCATTGCCCCACCATGTCCCACGTGCCCATCCACCAGCCACAGTTTTCACATGGGCAACAATTTAAGGCAACTCCATCTCAATAAAAGGTTCCTGAGACAGGTCAGGGCATCCCATCAGAAGCCACAGCCACCTCCAGCATGGATTTCCCCAAGCACATCTTTCTCAGACTCAGCTCTGGAGGATCCCCATTGCCTCAGGTAGAGTTGGGTGCTGACCTCCCCCCTGCATGGGGCACCCCAGAAGCACCCATAGAGGAAGGCAGCAGTCAGGATGGCTCCTTGTGCTGTTTGCCAGCCCGCATGCAAATCCTTGCAGTCAGCCACCAGGGCAAGGAGCTGGGACAAGCCACATCTTGCTGGATTCCTCCGAGTCGATGGAAGCTGTCAGTACACGCACTTGGTACCAGCTGTCTCCTCAATCCCTATTTCCTACCTCCTAGCCAAGCAGTGTTACCCTCAGTGCTGGCTAAAAATCATGAAATCTGGTCCCAAAAATCAGATTTCTTACCTGGTATCACAACTACATCCTTTGTGATTAGTGAGCACAATGCAGCTGAGAGCAAGCCAGGAGAGCAGGGAACAGCACCAGGACATCTGTCTAAAGGCTGGTCCAGGCAAGGAGCCAGGCTTATATGTAACTGGGAGTCAAACTGGGTGGAGAAGGTGTGGGAGGAGGATCCAGGTGAGTCTGGTCAGGCTAATTAAGACCAATTAGTGCAGTCAGGGCCCTGACACCCTTTGTAGGGGGATGATGTGGGAGTGATGCTATGGGAACTGCTTAGGAAAGTCTGGTGCTAGACCAGCACTCCCCATGGCTCTGGCACTGTCCCATTTTCTCAGCCCTAACAGAGCTGGGCTGTAGGGGGTTTGCCAGGGTTGTTAAGCCCCTGACCCTGCCCCAGGTCTCAGGAATCAGTTTTCAGGTGCTCAGGGAGCTTGGTTTCCACTGGGTCTGTCTGTACTCGAAGGAGGGATCAGAGCAGGGGTTTAATCTGGGTGCTCCCGCAGCCAGCTGGAGCAGGTTGGAGACATCGGGACTGGAGCTGGGGCAGGAGCAGCTCCATGCCCGGATCCGTGCCCTGAGCCGCTCCACAGCCCAACAGCCAAAATGCCACCGAGTTTCCACTGCTTTACATAAAAGAAAGAAAGAAGACACGCACTTCCTCTGTGAGATTCAATCTGTCAGTCTTTGCTAATCTGGGTGCCTGGAACAAATTCAGCTAGCATCAGAAGCAATTTGGGAGCTCTGAGGTGTTTTCCACTTCAGTTTCCAAGCACGTGGCCTGCCCCAAAACTGCTGCTGAGACTCCTGGGTTTGGGATGGGCTTGCAGAGCCGTGACACTGGCACATGGATGTACACAGGGCTTGAACTCAACCACCTCCACTGCCCCTTGAGGGCGGCGAGTGACGGCTGACAAGTGACATCCCGCAGACACCAGCATGGGGCCAGTGCCTAAAGCAGAGCTAAAGCTGGGGGCTCTGCTTGTAGCCATCTGAGTGACCTTGGGAAAATCACCTGGGACACAGCACTGCCTTCCCGGGAGAGGGCTGCAAAGCAAGCCCAGACCTCGGGATGAAAAGGTACTTAAAAAGTCACTTATAAAGGCGTTTGCCAAGTGCTTTGCTTTCCTACCCCCAACAGACTCTGAGTGAACCTTAAAAATTTTACCGCCCCTCTCGGTTTACAGTAAACGCCTCACCTCTGTGCATGCAGCCTGGTTTGCGTTCATAAAACCCACGCCTGGCTCACACTGGGGCTGAGGTGAGGATGCTGCAAGGCGCGCAGCAGGATGCAGAGACCTAATGTACCGTGAACGAGAAACTTTCCTCCAGTTCCCCTCCCTGCTCCCGAGCCGCAGGCATCCCCTGAGCCTCCCCCGCCAGCCAGAGTCCTGATTTCCCCGTGGCACCCTGCTGCTGTGTCTCCATCCTGAGTGGTTTTAGGCAAAAAGGGAGCTGCTCTGCTCCCCACAGGGGTACCACCAGCCACCAGCTCTTGCCGAGGCTGATGTAGAGATATCACCGTCATTTGCAGGCTAAGTATAAACCTCTCTCTAGGAGGTGAATGCCCCGTGCCCTGTGTTTGTCAGCACAAATTGCTGCCAGCAGCCCTGCTGTGTGCCCTCAGCCCAGCAGTTGCTGTTCCCCTGCCATGGCTGAGGGAAACTGAGGCAGGGAAGGTGGGGGACAAGCAGTGTGCGAGCACTGCCATAACCAACAGCTGCTGGGGCTGCTGTGTCACAGCTAGGGAAACCCGAGCTTGAACCTGGTGTCTTGGGGATCACTGGAAGAAGAAACAAAACTCAGACCTGAATGAGAGAAGCGGACATCGACCAGCAGAGACTGAAACCAGCCACGTGCTTTGCTCCGTCTTGCTCCACCCGGGACACCCACCTATCCCCACAACAGGGCTGATGCCATAAGCCCCACGGCAGGGCGCAGAGACCTAGCGTGCCGTGAGCAGGAAACTTTCCTCCCATTCCCCTTCACACACTGGGCCAGGAAGCACCTTTGCACCAGTTTGCCTGCTCCCTACACCGCACGCTGTTTGCAGTAGGCACCCAGGTGTGTCCTGTGCTGCGAACTTCAGTCCAGATCCCAATACGATTAGCACAAGATGAGCACGTGCTAGTGAGGATCTGACTCCGCATTTTTGTTGGCCCTGATCTTCAACATCATCACTGCTCAGCACCTTGGGAAGGGTTAAAAGGCGGTTTTGTGGAGTTGCTGCTGCTGTTCATGGGCACAGCCGGCCGAGCTAGGCTGGAACAAACCCGTTCCTTCACTTGTGTGCAGGCAGAAGGCAGCGAGGCCACGTGGCCCTTGGCAGCGCATCTCCGGGGCTCTCGCAGCAAAAAGCCCAGGAGATCCTGTAGGTCCAGCTGCCAAGGGGAGAAGGTGTTCCACAGGTGGATGAAAGCTACAGCAAGCACGCAGATGCCCTCGGGACAGCCCCCTCGATGAGCACAAGGACACACAAGGGGAGCCAGGGCTCCAGAAATCTGCTGGACAAGCTCAAGCGTTGGGCAGGGCAGCTGGGAACAGAGAGGAGCTGTGAGCTGTGCTTCTGCCTTTTTTTCAGGTTTGCTGTTGCCGGGGAGAGGTTTTAGGCTGTCATCCAGCTAATTCACACCAGAGAGACAAGCACTTGAATTAGTCGCATTATCTGCACCCAGCTAAAGTGGACAAAGGATTAAAGTGTGCTCAGCACCACCACCGTGATTTGCATGTTAGAGCCCCTTCCCACGGGCCCCCTCAGCTTGCAGCCCTCCTCCCCCCTTTTTACTTTTTTTTTTTTCCGGCTGCGAGCCAGCCGGCAAAAGAGCCCTGTTTACAGAAGTGATGTCCGGGTTAATATTGCAAAAGACTTCATCAAAGCTTTTTAGTCGCTACTGAAGCAGAAGCATCTAACCGTGGGCACTGAGCTGGCCAGGCTGCGCACGCAGGGGATGAGCCGCCCGCGCTGCACACACAACCACGCGCTGCCGGCCCTTCGCTTCAGCCCGAGGTATGAAACTTACTCTCGTGAGCCTGCCGCCATGGCAAATTTGAAATAACGAGCAAGGACAAACTATTTTTCATTTTTAAGGCTGCACACAACGCTCAGTTGTGGCTATTGTTTTAGGGGAAAGGCATTATTTGAGTGCTAAATAAATATTGTGCTGCGCAGTGACCTTAAGGGCACCTTTTTTGAGCTCATCCAGCTGCCAAAGATTTTTTTTGTGTGTTTATTCATGTGGAGAGGATGGGGAGTGCTACTGCTATATGTTTCATGCTGCTGGTCTCGAAGAAATCAAACCTGGGATCTCTCAGAAGCAGCTCTACCAAGGTAAAGCAAAAGCATATCTGAGATTGCTGGATCCTAATTAATTAATGGCTTTTGAAATGTTTTTTCAGCACTAGCACTTTGAACTATACACAGGAGCAGTTGTCATAACAGGTTCACACCGAGCCCTGCCGCACCATGCGAGCTTTATGCGTTTCTATTTTTCTTGGCATTTGCAGAGTTTTTCGTTCTCCTCTCAGTGTGAGGACTTGGTGACCTTAGCAATTGCCAGCAAGGGGACTCCATATGATGAAAGCAGGTGAAAGGGAAAATAAGGGCGGGAACTAGGTAAGGCCAATTCATACCTCAGAGGAGGTGTGGTCCCATTCTGTACCTGGCTGTGCTCACAGTCTTGTGCAATATAAAAGGGGAAGGCAGGCGTTTCTCAAGTAATCTGTTGCCAGGATCCTGCAGGGAGAAGGAAGGGAGGTGCTGGGAGAAATGCAGAGCAAAAAGTCCAGAGTGTCAGCTGCAAGAGGTCTGGGACACGCTGGTGGCTCTGAGCCCAGGGACTACCACTAGCCCTTCTCTCTGTAGGTCCATTCCCTGGGCCGAGGGTTGCATGGTAGCTGCAGTTGCTTCCCCAGCGGGCCAGCCTGGGAGGAGAAAGCAGCCACCATGTCCCAAGGAGGAGCACGAGGAGCTGCCAAGCCCCAGGACCGGGGCTGGGCATGGATGGTGCTGCTCGCCGCGGTGCTGCTGCAGGGGCTGACACTGGGCTTCCCCTCCTGCATTGGCGTCTTCTTCACGGACCTCCAGCACGAGTTCCAGGCCTCCAACAGCGAGACGTCGTGGTTCCCCTCCATCATGGTGGCCGTGCTGCACGGAGGCGGTGAGTAAAGGCCGCGGCAAATGTCCGCCGCTGTCTCCTGAGGTGCTGGTGCTGACGAGGGGCCGTTATGAGGGCACTTCCAGCATTTCCCTGAGGAGGAAGGTGGAAGGGACCGGGAGGTATGGCTGGTTGGCAGCACACAGGCTGCTTTGATCCATGCCCACAGAGTCCAAAGCCAAGGGTCTGCAGACACAACGCTCCCCTTTGCCACTCTAAGCGATAACCAAGACCTTTCGCCAAAGGTGAGGGTGAGCTTGGGCTCTTCCTTCCATTCTCTCTCCTTCCATATGACCACCGCGTTCTTCAGGGCTGAGAAGCTGCCCAGTTTGAGCCCCTCCAGGCTGCTGGCACAGGGTTAAAGCAGCCCCTGGGCGGTGGCGTGGAGCACACGCCCCAGCAGGTATCAAGGTGAGGGCAGCTGGTTTAGTGCAGGATGCAGGTCAGGCAGGTCTCCAGGTGAAGGGGGACGGAGAAGGGTGGTACATTGCAGACAGAGCACCAAATCAAGCCCTGAAAAACTAAGCAAATCACCCCCAGAAAACTTTCCCCAGAAAAAATGAGGGGCTGCACAGGACAGGGCACCCAGAGCCACATCCAGACTGATAGCTCTGCATAGAGGAGAAAAACACACCCAACAGCTCGAGGACCTCCCAACAAGCAGTCCTGTCTTGCTGCTGACCCCTCCACATGCAGCTCCCATGCTTGTGTGATAAACAGACTACTTGAACCCCACCTAGCAGCGGGGAGCAAAGTATCTAAGCCACCCGGGTATCTGAGCTGCTCCATTAGTTCATTCCTGCTCCTTTCCAATACTGATTAAAGGTGACACTACAGTATGGGGGTGGAAATATAAAAAAAAAAAACTAAAAGCAGAGCCCCCAGTCATGCTGGTGCGACAGCTATGATGGGTTCAGTGTCTCCTGGGTAAGACTTGACAGCATGGCATGGGGAAAGAGCTTGCACCTTAGCAGAAGCAGCTGGTCAAGAATTGCAAGGCACAGACAGAAAGAGACCTCAGGGGAAGCAGCTATGGGAGGAATCATCACTGAAGTTTGGCAGAAATAGAGCAGTGTCTTGGGTCCTTGAATTCAAAGGCCTGGTGGGCTTCCAACCCCTGTGGCCCGGCTGCTGTTAGTGGGAAGGAGCTGAACAGGAGCTGGTGGCCCTGGGAAATGGTCTGAAAAGCAGCTCAGTCCCAATGAGCCAGGGAAAGACAACTCTGGCTGCATCTGCAAGAAAATATCACGTCTCCTATAATGAAGTAATTGTTTTGTAAGAGGCTGGGACCACAGTGAAAGGTAAGATAAAGACAGCCAACAAACAGATCCAAAAGTTGTAAATGACACAAGGAACGAAAAGCCTCATGGTGATTATATTCACTAATAGAATTTGTAACGGCATAACCAGTGGACTGCAAGAGCATTGTTACTTCACTTGCCAGTTGTGTCTCCTATTGCAGGCTGTTACAGTAGAGGAGAATTTGTTCTCATCCCACAGTAGCTTAAATTGGGACTAACACAACTGTAAGAAGAAAAAAACAACGAAAAATCAGAAATAAAGGGCTCCCTCTCAGGCCAATGATTTTTGCTGCAACTTCTGACCTTCTTTGCAGCAGGCTAGGCTTTGTTTGATTCAGGTTCTCAGGTTGCATCCATCACCTTGGCATTTAAACCCTTTCCAAAACTGTTTTCTGCTCTGTCACCAGGATCTCAAACATCCTTCTCACTTTTCTTCTCCTTTACTCTTAATTCAGAGGACCTGAAGGGAAAAATAAATATTTGTTGCAAAAATAGTAGACAGCAAAGGAAACAGACAGCGTGCTCCATTCTCAGATTTGTCAGTAGAGTGAGAAGGTCCACGCAGGAGAACTAACCTCAGCTCAGCAGAGATGGGAAAGGAAACAGGGAAGGGCACAGTGTGAAGAATAGCACTTAATTTAATAAAGCAAACATAGCTCATCACCATGTTCCTAGGTAAAAGCCATTACTAGTTATTTTGTTATAAGAATCATTTGAGACTTCAGGATCCTATGGCTGACTCCAAAGGGGGAAATACAGGAGTGCAAGCCCTTACAGGCTCCTGCTTCTAGATATTCATGCAAACATAAATCTCTGGGCTTGCACTAGTACAAATGCAGAAGTTCTATTGGAAATATTTTTGCAAAGAAAAGCACAAAAGCCCCAAGCAAGTGAGCAATAATATTTGAAACCTAGAAAGCAAGTTGGCAGGAATAAGTAATGAAAAATAGTTAGGATTTTTTGAGCCAATCTCATGATTTTGGCATGTTTTATTTATGATTTCTGGCTACTCAGGTTGATTAAACAGCAGTACCATCCTTAATCTCCTCAGTGAGAGGAAAAATAATGCAGTCACTGGTTTGCTGAGCCTGGTGAATACTTCTTCAAAGGCCAGTTGAAGTCCAAGGTGAAAATCTCCCAAGCAGATCAAAATACAGACAGCTGCAGTCCTGATTTTAACAATGTTCCTCTGCTTGCTTGACTATGTGGATTTTATTTCCAACCAGGTGTTGTCTTAAGTCACAAATATGCCACAGGTTATTTTCCCCACAGATTGATTCCTAACTCTGAAACTTGCAGTCATTCTGAATTTGCTTACATAACCTGATGGGTTATGAAGAGGGGAAAAAAAAAAAAAAAAAAAATGGAAAAGCATGAGGATCCTCATGGGAACACAAAAGGAGCAACTCTCCCTTCAGTTTCTCCTCTAAGGGAGAACCATGTTTTCCATTGACAGGCCTGAACTAATCTCCTTCTACCCCAAAATGAAGCACACTAAACCCATGACATTATCAAACTGGTGATTTACCCCAATATCATGGAACTCACCAACAGCCTTTGAAAATTACAGAATTAACTGACCTTAAGCACGTATCTCCGTGCCTATTTGTTCATTGCTTTCTCTGATGAAATAACCTAAGTCCTACTTAGAAAAGCCTGCCGGCAATGTACGCACACAGTAAGACCCAGATTTCTGCTCCAGAAGGGCAGACCCAAGCCCACCAGGAGCACCCAGGTCTTGCCCTTGCCTCTGCGTTGTTGGTGCATGTTCTGCTCCTAGGCTTCGTCCTCTTGGAAGTGGACACAGTCATGCCTACCCACCCCGGCCAGGTATGCCAGGACAGGCACGTGCAAAGAGCTGCACTGGCAAAAACATCTTATTATTTTCATGGGGAGATGACTTGCAGGACAGCTGCAAGACTCCACAAGCTGGAGCTTGGATGCCACAGCCTGAAGCTTAGACTGATTCCGATGCAGACATGAACATGCTTCCAGCTGTTTTCAGATGATCTTCCTCAAGGACAATCCTCTTTCTCCCATTCTGGATCATTTTCAGAGTCAACGTGCCTTCTGTTGCAGGGAATTTCACCTATGTAGCAGGACGCCAACGGCAATTGACAAGATTCTGTGGCAGAATATTTGAAAAACACAGCAAAATGAGAGTGGAAACATGCAAGCAGAAAACAACACCCACTCTGCATCTCCTACTCAGGGGCACAAAAATCCAAGTCCTCTCCTTTTTCAAATCATTCCCAGAACGGATATCATATGAGAACAGAATTACACTTGAAGGTCCTTTTTCCATTCCATTTCTGAGAGTTTTACCTAAAATCCATCACAGGGAAGCTTAAGGAATCCTACTTCATGACCAAAATCCAAGCAGAGGAGCATTCCCTTCATGTACCAAGCTGACCAAGCACTTTGGAGGACCAGGGAATGTATTTTCTGTTTCTGGCTCCCCCACTGCATTATGCAGCTGGGATAATCTGTAGAATAAACTGTTCGATAACTGCAGCAGTCTAGCAGCTATGAAATAATTCCTGCCTCTCTAACTGCCTCCCTTTTGCTTCTCTGACTGCTCCTAGGACCCCTCTGCAGCATCCTGGTGAAGCGATTTGGCTACAGGTTTGCCGTGATGTTGGGAGGCCTGCTCAGCAGCGTGGGCATGGTGTCCAGCTCCTTCTGCAAGTCCCTCGGCCAGCTTTACTTAACAGCTGGCCTCATCACTGGTAAGTACCAAGGAACAGCAGGAAAACCCAGCTGCTGCCCTTTATTTGAGAGCCGGGAAGTGGTGAGAGTCCAGACTAAGTGCTCACGTTTTTCACTCAGCTGTGAAATAGGATAAATCAAAAGCCCCACAGCTCAGCAGGAATTGCATGCTGGATAGACTTGCCCTTCACACCCCTTTAACACACCTCGCCCAGCCGAGCTCACTGGAACGTGCTTCTCTCTGGAAAAGGTTGCAGGTCTCTAAGGGGTGAAGTGGAGAGCCAAAACATGTCTGTTCTCTTTAGGAGCTTCACAGCCTTTTGTCTTTGAAGAGGGGAGGTTTTTCCGTGAAACACAATGTGTTGGGACAACATCCTTCACAAGTCCCTTGGGCTTGGGTTTCACCACTCCCTATCTGGGGAAATATGGAGTCATCTTTCTCTAACAAAAGAACGTGTTGGTTTTGAACAGAAGTCACAGATGGGAACTTTTCCTTTCCAAATATTTCTCCTATGTAACTGTTTCTCAACCCATATTTTCTTCTAACAAAGAGAAATGAAATTCTGTAGCCGGGTCACTTTGGGACCAAGTCTTTTGGCTCTTGTAAGCTAAGCTGTGTTTGCTGCACAGAGAAAAACAAGAATTAACTCCCTGGGCCCTGAAGAAAGCATCAGGAAGGCAGCACTGCCTGCTGCATGCAGTAAAACTATAGTTTTTCTAATGAACAATTCCATAACGATCGTAAACATGGCAGTGCAGCCATGACAAACATCACCTTAGACAGTGTATTTAGTATTCCTGAGAACACAAGGAGTTAAATTTATGCACAATACCCTTCTTCATCTCTAGTGTGGGGTTGCTGAGTATTAATCACCGGAGGTTGTGCAGCCCGGCAGGCGAGGATATGCCTAGTGGTAGATTGAAGTCATCTGTGAGTACCCCACGGGGCCGGGCTCTTTTTACCCTGCAGGACACCGCAGAGGGATCACGTGCTGTTGTTTTTCCTTCTTACCTTTAGGTCTGGGATCATGTTTCAGCTTCCAGGCTGGACTGACTGCGCTGGGCCACTACTTTGTGCGGTGGCAAACATTGGCTAACGCCATGGCATCCACCGGCGTCTCTCTCGGTTTCACACTGTGGCCGCTGCTTTCTCAATACATGCTGGACGAGATGGGCTGGAGAAACACTTTCCTTATCTTTGGAGGAATACTATTGAACTGTTGTGTCTGCGGAGCCATTATGAGACCAGTGCAACTTGCTTCAGGATCACTTGTACAGTTACCCAGGCCTGGAGAGGATTCAGGGAGAGGAGCAGAAGAGGCACAGCTGTCCAATGGAGCATCTTCTCCCCACCTAAAGTACCAGCAGCAAAACAGAAAGACTGCATGCTTCCAGGTGCTGCAGAAGTACCTGGCTTTTGATATCTTCTGTCAAAACAAGGGTTACCAGATTTACACTATCGGAGTGACCTGGATGATGATGGGGTTTGTGTTACCCCACGTCTACCTAGTACCTTATGCCATCCAGAATGGGGTGGAGGAACGCAAGGCAGCCCTCCTCATCTCCATTATTGGGTTCATCAACATCTTCATACGCCCTTTGACAGGGCTGCTTTCGGGACACAGAATCTTCACAGGAAGACGCATCTACCTGTTCAGCCTGGCTGTGCTCCTCTGCGGGCTGAGCAATTTCATTTGCATCATTTCAGCTGAGTTCAACGTGCTCATCGTCTACTGCGTCATCCTCAGCATAGCCATGAGTGGCATTGGGGCACTCACCTTCCAGGTGCTGATGGATGTGGTGGAGATGGACAGGTTCTCAAGTGCTCTAGGGCTCTTCACAATCCTGGAGAGTATCACTCTCCTCATTGGACCCCCTCTCACAGGTGAGAAAAGCTATTAAAGCAGGCTGGAGCAAAAACAGCTTTTTTAGACACTGGTGACAAGTGTTTGGGAGCATAAAGAGGAGGAATGAGGGAGTTTCTAAGTCCACACAGGCAGCTGAGTTATGCAAAGGGAGCAATATAAAAGGGAGAGTCAGAAAGGAAAGATCAGCCCCATCTCACTGCTGAACAAGGGTCATTTCTGTAGTGGCCCAAGTGTCACTGAAGCAACTGCAGACAGTGAAAAAGTTTCCCATTTGGCTGGCAGCTTCAATAGGCATGAGAATGCTGAGAACTTTTTCCCTGAGTGGCAGGACACAGAGAGGAATTACAGTGGTATGATCTTGCTGTTTTAGAATTCTTTCACTGCTTTGCTAGTCTGCATTGATTTATCTATGAAGCCTCAAGAAATTGCAAACATCCCATTCAACACATTGATCAGAAGTTTACTCTGATCAGAAGTGTTACCAGCTCCATATAATTGAAGAAGCTTATAGTAAAAGGCTCCTCTACTCACTTTCTGTGTTCTGGAGTGTATTCATTTTTCTCTGGAGACAAGGAAGGGAACTAGTTAAGCCCCCAATCCAATAAATTATTCAGTGGTTTCACAGTTCACTCCAACCACCACTAATTGACCTGTCCAAGACACACCTGCTCCTGCTCTGCAGCAGCTCATTCAAAAGACTGACAAACAAATGTGAACCTGAGCATGAATCCTCTATTCAGATTTTAGTTCTCTTCTCCAAACAATGAATTGTGTTCCATCCAGCAGGAAAATATCTAAGAATGGAATAATATACACTATATTTAATGGTATTCCCAGGCAAAGTGTGTCAGTCACTTTTCTCAAAGTGCAAAACAGATCTTGGACATCTCTGATGGAAAAGGCAGATAGCCAAAAACAAAGTACAGTAAGGGAAGCTCAATCTCTAGCAACCTAAAATCTATTAAAAAAATTACTCCCATATTTCCATATAATTAAGCAGTCTCAAAAAGAGTCATCATATGTTTACCTGAATATTACCTTTCAGTATCCAGCATTAATGTTAAATTACTCACTTGATATATCACCCGTCTAAATGTTTTACATTGAGATACTTAATGTTTGTTATAATGCCTGCTGCGCTGTGATTTTTTTCTCCTCCCCAGTTACATACTTTTAGAGACAAGTCTTCAGCTTAGAGACTCCAACACGTCATTTTTGTGAGAGTTCTTTCTTTATTTGTTCTGTTTTCTGACCTGGAATGTAACAGAGTCACTCATTCCAAAATCCAGGAAGTGGCACAGGGGTCCTCTGCTAAGTAAACAAAGTGAATCAGCAGGTTGGGAAAAAGTTACAGTTTCCTTTCTTTGCTGATTTCTCTGTTTACTGAAAAATACTTTATATAGAAAAAGAAACACCACCTGAGCGATGAGTGCAAACAAGCTCTAGAATCTGGAAAAGAGAACTTAACTCATCTGTGAATGCTTATCTTTTGTATATGGCAGTTGGCTGAATTATTTAGGTCTAATGTTTCTGCGAATGCCATACAGTTGTCTTTAATATGCATCTCCTCTTTGACTAAGCTGTGGTTTCTATTTCAGGTCTCCTGGTGGACATAACCAATGATTTCCACTATGTCTTCTACACCTCCAGTTTCCTCCTGATATCAGCTGCTTTGTTCATGGGGCTCAGCTTCTGCGCTCTGGAAAAAAAGAGAAATTTGAAAGAGGCCTCAAAAGTCCCTTTGGATAATGCCTCCAGATATCAATACAATGACACGCCAACTGAACCACAGCCTGAAAGTCAATCCACTCCAGCAGTCGTGTATGTCACAAGCATATGAAAATAAAGAAAAAAAGAAATAAAAAGGAAAAAAGAGAGGAATACAAAAAATTATGTGGCTTGTACAAAGCTACACAAGGCCTGGCACTGATGGCAGAGAAACCAAGTGCGTGCATCCCACAGCTATCATTGTTCTCATGCCCCGCGCTTCCACTCGGCGGGGCCGTGTCAGGCTCCACGCAAGCAATGTGGATCTCGGGCTGAGCCCAGCGCCAGCCCAGGAGCTGAAGGACACACGGATCTGTGCTTTCCTAAAGCAGGCCAGGGGGTAACAGCCATGGCAGCCAGCTCTGAGAAGCAAAAGCCACATTGATTAAATCGGCTTAAGTCGGTGCCTTTCTGAAGTCACTGGTATTTCACGTACACATTTCAGCTTTAGCACAGGAAAATACATATTGATGGCTATGCACAATGGTAGTTCTTTCACAGAGTAATTACACGCCTAGTGTGAACGTAAAAATTTGGTGCAGGTCTGTATGAACTTTCCTGGTAGCCTCTCACATTGTGGGGGGAGGAAACAAACACTTTCAGTTGGAAGAATGTCATTTCCCACATCTCAAAATATTATATGGAGGCTGCCATATGGGTCACAGAACTCAGGCAAGTCTCTAGGAAGATCAAATATTTTTCTCCTTATGAGGTATATATGAGTTCTTCATGCCAAAGGCATTTTCAAAGCCTCAAATGGTCAACTCCAGAGCATCAAAAACAAAGACCCAAACCTTACAGTGAATGCCTTGCATAACTAGTGGTATTTCTAGTGCTTCCTGATGTATCACAACTGGGGATTCATGGCTTGTATAAATACATTTCTTTCCAGCATCAACTGGGACACTTTTTTTTTTTTTAAGGGGACAGGTGAAGAGCACGACATAAAAGGTGGTAGTAGACCAGAGAACGAATGTATGCATCCTTATCCTTATATAGGGCCAAATCCTTGTGTAAATGCCTTTAGACTCGTAGACTTATGTATACCAGCATTCTCAGCACAGAGAAGTTTGCACAAGTATAACTTACATGTCAAAAAGAAAGCAATGTGGAAAAATATACTAAGAAAAGCCAGTGTTAACGTTCATATCCATGCAGTCTTTTGACTGTAAGTGGCTTTTCCTGCCACCCTCCCGGAGTTACACTTGTAAGCACTGACACAAGAGTTGCATCAGCTGCTGAACTCCCTCGGGATGAGTTCAAATTGCAAACTGTTTATATTTCATATCTCTCCTGATCTAAACAGATATCTCACAAAGTACTGGAGCTGGAGATTACTCAACATAATAGAACCTCCAAAAGATAAAATCATACAATGTCAGTGAAATGAAAGAAGTAACACCTTTCAACTGAACAGCTGAACCAGCAGCTTCTAATTCAACTTTAACACTTAATCTTGAGAACTGTTGTATCAAAGTCTTAGCAACAAAACCAGTTTTCATTAGAACTGTGGGCTCCCTGGAAAAGCAAACCCCAAAATAAATAAATAAATGAAAACCAAACATGAAGCCACTAGAAAATTGATTCCAAGGCTTTCTAAGACTAATGGTTTCTCAGCTATTATTTACAGCCCTTCAGAATGGTTCCTCCTTCCACAGCTCAGAAGCATCCTCATCAAAATAAACCAATGTAGAAGGATTAAGTCTCAAACCTCTTCTAGCTATTGCAAATGAAACAGCTAGGCAGCTGAGCAGATTGATATTATTTTCTTTATATAATTCTTAAATCTGAAATTGTTTACCCTTTTACATTCCCTTTCTGTACTCTGCCAGAAATATGGCATGATATTGCTCCCAATCCTCCCACTGCTACAAATTTCCTGGGCAAAACAGGCAAGATCAGAATCTATCCCAGGAAAACAAAGATTAGTCGGAGGAGTAATAGAACGCATCTCCTGTGCAGAGGTGCTGCTCTATCTGCAATGCTTTAGCCCTAGTCAGCTCATAAGCAAGTAAATGAGTTGTCTAACGCATATTTGCAAGATACAGGGTAAATAAAGGTACTCACCGACTGAAGCTGCCACAGAGATGTGTGCACTTCCTGCACCATGGCAAAGAAATCTCAGTTTTGACTATTCCCTAGCTGTACACAGTAGCGCAAGGCAATTTAGGACAGAAAGTTAGAGTTCTTTATATAGTGGCTTTTTGATACTCCCAGATTCAATGCTAGGGTCACTGGGAGTTATTCGCAGAGGCAAAGAAATGTTTCTGGGAAGACAAACAGTTTACAAATCTGGTATTTTCACTTTTTTCATCTTGTTGACCAAGATCTTTCTAACAGCCTTATAGAACTCAATCTGCCTGAAAACAGGGTTATCTCCCATGGTTACTTTACATGTACTCGTTAGTAGTAATCTGCAATCCACAGGTTAGAAACAAATCTTGGACAAGCAACAGGTTAACACTTAAGGCTGTGCTTCCACAAGTAAATAAGATGACTGAGCTGCAATAACAGACAAAATAGTTCCCTGCTTCCTCCTCTTCTACCTCTCTTTTCAACCTGAGCTCCCAGATGCCTTGAGCAGCTTTGTAATGCATAATTGAAAGGGCCACGCATACTGAGCATGCTACAGTATAACAAATATTCCCCCTCAGAACATTAATACTCACTCCTTAAGAATCTTGAGGCCCAGAAGAAAAATAAAGTAATAAGAATTCCTTCCATTAGTTTAAGGTTGTCCCATTACGCAAGGCAACCACAGCCTAATTACCACCACCCCCTGAAGCAGGTGTCTTTTTGTTTGGTTGTTTTCTTTTAAATAACCTTCAGACAACAAAATAACCCCAGACTTAATGACAGACAAATGCTAGTACCTCAGCCTGGTTACAAACCTATGAGAATGAGCAGAGCAAGAAAAATTAGCCAGGAATAAATAAACCTTACCCAGTCCCCTCATATCCCTTCCTGATCCCTTTGTTGTTAAAAGTATCATTAACCTTGCAATCTGAGCATTTTTTGCACCAAGCACCTTTCCTTACTGCTATGAAACATTCACCAGGAAGTTCACACTAAAATATTACAAGATTGTGACCCTTATAAGCCTTAGATACTCTGCCAATGTGATTCTTGGAAAAGTTTAATTAAAAAAAAAAAAAAAGAGAGAAAGAGTCATGGTAACCTTACAAACCCTAAAACACCTCAGAAGTGCAAAATCACTTAAATGAAGAATTTGGCATGCTGTTTACAGACCTAGTTAGTAATTGTGAGAAAAGAAACATACCTACTAGACATGAAAATTGATCAAATTCTAACTGTGGTGGATGTGCTATCAAAGTACACCACTGTCACTAGAATAGTCCTTGGATCTTTGACTATCCCGGACATAACAGCCCATTCTGCGCTAACTATTTTGGCAAAAAACAAGTAGTCAGAGCATTCAGACTATTAAACAATATAGCAGGTATCACCTGAGTAAACAGTCTGAGTAAGACGGCTACGTACCTACTGCCAAGTGATCTTTCTGGATGATCAGGACAAACTCCCTGCAGCAAGCCAGCACACAGACAAGCACACAGCCTGTAACAAAGCTCACTGTATAAGCAGTGCTAGCACAGCCTGCAACTCCTACAGAAAACCTCTGAGGACCACAAGACCCAGGGAATGTTGTCAAACTCTCCTCCAGGAGGCAGCTGCACCACATCAAATTAAATGGAAAATGTTCCTCACGTTTCTTAACCAGCTTTGGTTAAACTCAAAACAAGACGAAGGTTAGGAGGAACAGAGCAAACAGTTCCCAGAAAGCCGAGCACGAGTTTTCCTCTCCCCCTGGTTACTTCTTGCCACACACTGAATAGCGTGACCTGGAGAGTACAGTTTTCAGAGATGCATCACCCGAAACCCAGCCAGCACAGGTACAAGCTGTTTCTAAACACTGCTGCCTGTGCAACCAGTTCAGAGGAGGACAAAGTTTCTACTGGTTTTATGCCTGCAAAAGTGTACTGACTGACCACAAATACAGTATTTGTGAGCAGACGCTATTGCGTTTTTCCTCTTTAAATGCTCCGGTTTTCAGTCCTTATTAGTCAATCCCAGTATCCTTAACCACTTTTCCTTTGTATTGGGTTAGCTTGTTTGCCTTTGCTTTCTCTTCTGCTTTCTCACATTAGTCACGCGCTAGTACACATTAGCAATGACAGATGTGGCTTAAAGTATGTCAACACTTACAAATACCTACGTTAAAAGAGATGTGCTAATATGCTAACATTCTAACGTGGAAGTAGTTCGTAGCACCATCGTTGCTCGTTTTCATATACATACACGTATGTGAACCAATGCATAGGAATTATGAGTTGAAGGTGCTAGCCTAGCCTAAACTTTTATACCAGGTGGAAATAAATACCATGACTTCCCCATTCCCTGTCTTCCCACACCATTACAATGCTAAAAGCATTACTGTATGCAGTGCAGCTTCTTTCCTCCTCCTTCTATTTAATGTGGTTGTGGGCAGACAGTTTACTACACCCAGCTGTGTGGTAGGAGTGATTATCAGCCCAGCATGCTTGTCACTGGTGCCATATATTTAGTGGATCAGACCACGTTCAATTTCCTCTCTATGAAAATCAAGTACTTGAAATAATACCAAAAACATCTGCTCACAGACTGCTTCCTACCTTATCTACAAAAGAGCCTGTAGTCACTTAATTGCCTCAATAAAATCAGGGCAAACTTCTGCTGAGCCTACCCCCAGTGCATGACGTTTATGTACCTTCGCTTAGGGATTTCCACAAAGTGAACCACATTTGAGTCCACTTGCGGTGCACATAATGGTGGTTTCATTAGAACTGCCTTTCTCCAGAATCAGCTAATTGCTCTGTGTTTAGACCAGGACGCTGTACAGCCGGGGAGGAATTACCTGCTGCCGTTTCAAGTAGCTTCTTCCAGGTAGTTTATCTTACCGTGCACGGGAAGTGCTTAAAAACCCCAATTTTCGCCAAATACAAAGAGAAATACCCAGACTCGAGTTTATTTATGTGAAGTTATCAGTAACAGGCTTTATTTATTTGCAGTTATCAATAACAAGTAACACAGTCCCATCGCTTTCCAGCCCAGACACCCCCAGCCCGGCCGCGGAGGAGGAGCCGCGGCCGCCGCTTGGGGAGAGCGACGCCCACAAAATGGCGGCCGCGGCCTGAAGACAGCGACGCCCACAAAATGGCGGCCGCGCCCTTCCCGCCCACCCCTTCTGTGGAGGCCCCCGGCAGGGCTCCGCTGGCCGCGGCGAGGCCTCTTCCCCTGGCCCGGGGCCCTCCCGGCTCTTTCCCGTGTGTGGCCGGGCCCTGGCCGGTACCCGCCTGCTGACAGGGAAGGGGAGAGCAAAGCACCGGGCTCTCTGCCCCCGAGCTCGTTGGGGAGCAGCGGGATGGAGCTGGGGAGGCTGGAGTACCTGCAGGCCCTCGTCACCGAGTTCCAGGTGACGGACAGCTCAGGTAACGTTTAAAAGTTTGAGCTCCGTGGCTTGCTGCTCTTCATGTCGCACGTGGCAGGTGCCTCTGGCACCGTTCCCCTCCTTCACGCGATGCTTCTCCCTTGCAGAGGCCAAGGAGCAGGTGCTGGCCAACCTCGCCAACTTTGCCTATGACCCCAAGAACTACGAGTACCTCCGGCAGCTTCAGGTCCTGGATCTGTTCCTCGATATGCTGACTGAAGACAACGAGACCCTTGTGGAGTTTGCTATTGGTAAGAACTGCACCCGAGTACACTGATAAAACAACCCACTGGGGTAGGGGACGACAGGAGCTGGGCTGCTCGTCCCAGTGCCTCCGTTCAGCAGCCGCTCACCCCGGGTTCAAGAAGGCAAATGACAATTATCTGTGCTGCGTGCTGGCAACACAGATAATTGTTAGTGCAAAGTGAGTGGAATGGGGTGAGAGGAAGGAAGGATCAGGAATGACTTTAAGGGCAGTGTGTCTCCTTCATTTTAATATAGCTGCTGTGCTTAAAAAAAAGAAATAGCTTTCTGGAAAAGATTTTCTTTTTTAAGACTGAGAAAACTAGCTGACAGCAGTACAGTGCCCTCTAATGACATACAGGGGGAGGAGTGCTCTGGTGGAAAATCTCCAAGAACAATAAAGAAAACAGACCAGGAAGCAGCTAAAAGTTTTCCAACCAAATCTTACAGAAAACTTGGATGCATATTTTTGTATTAGAAAAGATGGATCAGCAAAATATTGATCAGCACTTTAGAAATCAGCACCTGTATTCAACTGAATTTAAGGAAATAATTTCTATTACCACTCTAGGTTGGGGAAAAAAAAAAAGAGGTTATGTAAGATAATTAATAACATCTTACAATTCCTGAGATTTAGAGCTGTTCAGGAAAAATATCTTTGTGTACTGCCTTACAAAAAGGAGAAAAGATTGAGCGGCCATCCAAGGACAACCCAGTGCAAGTATCTAACTGGGCAGGATCAAACTGTATTAGTATCAATAGATATAAACCTATGGAATACATTCAGTCTGTTGCCCTTTATTCCTGAATAATGTGTCCAATTATTTAAATAGGATAAAGTAAGGCAGGGGGAGCAGAGAGAAGAGTGCATCCTGATAAGTGTGCAAAAAATACTTGTCTTGCCTGTGTCTGACACTGTCCTTTGCTGTTTCAGGTGGTCTTTGTAACCTGTGCCTGGATAAAACTAACAAAGACTATATCTTGGAGGCCAATGGGGTAGAGCCCATAATAAATTGCCTCTCCAGTTCCAACGAGGAGACCGTCATGTCAGCAGTCACAACGCTGATGTACCTGACAACGCCGCAGTCCTGCCAGCAGACCACAGCTCTCCCAGTGGTGGAGTGCATGCTACGCTTCTCCCTCTCAGCCAGCAGAAGGCTAAGCAATCTGGCAACTGTCTTTCTGGAGGATTACTGCACACCTCTGCAAGTGGAAGAGGCTCAGAACCTAAGCAAACACACAGCAGTAGGGATTCCTCTTCCTAAGGACTGAAGACATCAGAGCATTTGGGAGCTTTTAATGGGGAGACCTCCCTCTGTTTTCCCATGTCTCCACTTTCTGCTCAGCAGGTCAAGAGCATGGTGGGAACAAAGGACTGGGAAATTTGTCAGACTAGTGCTGGATTGTCGTAATTAATAAAGAGGACAATGTGGCCTGTTGTAGTGCTAAGCATAAACTGCAAGCAAATATTTAAAATAAAACAGGTTGTGGCTGTTGGACAGCAGGTTGCCAAGTGCAGCTTGCACAAATAATCCTTCCTAGCAATTATATTTTTCTGTTTGGGTTATTGGGCTTACATCCCCTCCAGGTCTTGGCTGGTTTTGCTGCAGTTCTCCCTTCGTTGTCAACTCAAATGACTTTGAAACATCACATGAACTTCATTCTTCCTGCAGAAGAAAGATGTTTCTCTGCCCAAGCAATTTGCAATTTTATTACATTGCTTTGGTACTGAATGTGCCATCCTATCATCATGCCATAGGTTAAGTTACTACACAGAACAGGTTGCAGCTATCCCATAAATTGGGAAGGGGAAAGTTACATTTCTTTCATTACCACTGGTGAGAAAGGTGAAGATTGAAAAAAGGCTCATGGCACCTTGGCTCACAAGAACAGCTGTTTGTAAAACCTTCTCTTAATAAAACATTAACTTAAATGCTGTGTAAACAGTTTTGTATCAACTCATAAAATATTTCTCTACAGCATTTGCAGTCTAGCCTTCACCCACTCACTAACACATGGTCCAGAGATCGAAGCCAGCCTGGTCTCCTTTCATTGTCAGCCAACCAAGCAAAAGGCAACCCAAAAGCCAGGGTGGTTAAACACAAATACAGGGTTTGGTTGTTGATGACAGTGCTCTCCCTGAAAAGACAACACTGCATTTGTGCAAGTTCCAGAGCTTTACTTCCTATTTTTCCCTCTCTGCTCCCAGTCAGCCCAAAACACACAGGAGTGAGCTTAAAAGCACAAAAACAAACAAACAAAAAAACCTGCTTGTCTTATAGTATCTCTTCAATAGCAAACGTCAGGAACAACTCTGAAGAGATCAGCTGAATGCAGGAAAAGCTTCCAGACAGACGGGGAGGACTCGGGCTGTCTAATGAGAGCAGCTCACTTCATTTTATAAGCGTTTTGCCCCAGTAGCACCCCTGCCCTGGTCAGTGTCCTGCTTCCTGGGGCTGGGTTTCCCTGCCAGCTGCTGACCTGGGTGTTACCCTGGCCGTGGGACTGACCAGCACTCCGTTTTTGCATTACTGCCTGCATTTGCTTTCAATTTTTAAATGCACAGATAAGACATTCTTGTGAGAGGTTAAGCTTCCAGTATCTCTTCTACTCTAAGACACGCAAATCTTACCTTTCCTAGGGTCATACGGAGAACTTCAGCGGTGTCAAGCTAGCATTTTTCCACAGGCATTAAAGCCTTACATTCCCATGCCAACAAACAGTGCGGAAAGCTTAGTTCCTGTAAGTATTCTTCAAAGGCAGGCTGGCAGCCTCTGCTTAGCAATTGTACAAGATTGCTTTTATAGTCCAGCTGATGATGTCCCTCTTCTATCACCAGTGGAATATGAACACGAAAAAAAAAAACTTTTCAATTAAGCAGCGATGAGTACTCAGCATTAAAGAAATCTCTCAAATGATGGTGCTCACTCAGCTGTCAACATTTACAAATCCCGGTAAAACAGCAGACAAAGTTGGAAGCACTGCTGGAATTCACATGCAAATCAGAAGAGGTTAAGGAGTCTGGGTGAAGACACCGCAATCAGACCTACCCAGGTCTTTACTTCCACACAAGGCTTCACTGATCTCAGCAACAATTCCTTGGAGTTCTTCCCAAGGAGATTTGATTACAGAATCAGTGTCTGAAAAGCTTGTGTCTGAAAGCTCTTTTATCCTAGAGCAAGACATCAGAAACTGGCAACTTTCCATATCAGGGAAGAAAAAAAAAAAAAAGTCTGGCTTTGCTGGGAGAAGAAATAAAATTGATTTGATGACTCTGAGAACCAGAAGACATTTCTCAAAAACAAACAACACACCAAACAGCAAAAGTAAGAGAAAAAATAAAAAAAAATCTTCCTCATTCTCATCCCACCCTTGCTCTGCTTTGTGGAAGAACCATCTGCTAATTCTCCGAAGCCTAGTCAAGCCACTGCCCCATGAGTTTGCCTTAGGAAGTGGTAAGTATGAGAGCTACCACGTTAGATCAGCCCAGGGATTCATTTAATCTAATTTTCTGACTTCAGAGAAAGCTCCAAAAACTCTCAGGAACACCTGCCCAGGCGAGTGACTTCTGGTGACTTCCATTAGTGAGATAACAACTTGGACACAAAGCTGGGAGACTTGTATCTGTGCCCAAGCTTTCCCATTTTCAATACTTACAGTAATTCTAGAAATTCTTCCCACTGCTGGAGATGTTGAATCATTTTCTGACACTGTCTGGGGACATGTTTTACATCCATAACACGTGTGAGATAAATCCCTGACAACGAAATGGCTGCACACCTCTAAGTGCTTGGTTCAGGCAAGCACCGTAAAGAAAGTCTTGAACAAAATGCTTTCTAAATAAAAAGGCAAAGGATTTACAGTGTGAAATTAATGATCAATTTATGATCAAAAACAAAAGAAAAAAACAGTTCAACAAGTAATGGATTGAGTTTCAAGAGACAGCTGATAAGCACCCACAAAGCACAAACAACACTAAGAGGGCACTGCATAAATCATTATCACAGTGCTTCCAACCCCCAGACACGAGGGTATCTTAACACCTCTGATGTTCCTGGATAGCCCTCGTAGACACCTGTCACAACGAGCTCAGTGTGCGGCTGATCCCACTCTGGATTCTGTTTCCCTGCAGACACGTGGCCCTGCAGGCTCCCAGTGCCTGTGCAGAACTAACAAGGTCAGTATCTTTAACCAGCTGTTATTTACATAACACTTCTAGGAACTTCAAATCTTCGCTAAATTCTTTGCTAAATTGTTGTTCTGCCAAATGCACCTAAACCAGACATCCAGAGGTTACTGAAGAGGGAGATGGTTGGGAATACACAGACCTAATCTCCTTGTGAAGCCCAACTAACAATGAAGAGCAAGATAAGAACTTTCTGCCCCTGCTGATCTGCGTGGGACTCAAGCCACTTATCTGGTTATTTCATTGACACATGAAAGGTCTGGGAACAAACAGGATGAGCGTGAACCAAATTAGGAAATAAAAGTGTCAGAAATAGAACCGAATGAAACATTCACATGATCACGATCCCTTAAATTACTTCTATTTTTTTCTTGTCCCAGTACACCTAAGGGAGTCTCATAAAAGGCACAGATACCTAAACATACTCACTTAAGCAATAAGTTGTGTCTGTTCAAATAAAGCAAGAAAGAAAACAATGTCTATTGCCCACATTTACTAGTTCCAGAAGTTTCAAGCATCAGCAGCCATGGATCAGAGCTTGGTCATCTGGAGCCTGTGAAAACACTGCCCGGACCCAGCACTCCGGTTTGTCACATTGCTGCAGATGCCTGCACCTAGCTATGGAACAGGAAGGAAATGGATGGGAGTTGTCACTCCTTAGAGATAATAAATAAATAAATAAATTACATGCTCAGTGCAGGATCTTAAAAGTTAACAATGAACTTCTCAGAGAAAGTACATGGCACGGCCTGGATCAGCACCCGTCCGCCTTTCTGAAGAGTCCCAGTTGTCCTGTGGTAACAGGAAGGAAGCAGGAGCCTGGATTCATAGTATTTATAATTTTGCCTTGCAAATAACTCTGCTATTCATTCAGTCATTAGCAAACATAATGGAAGCTAAAAACAGCAGCAATTTGCACAGATATAGGGTGCACCGCAAGCCTTTTACATTTTTTTCCAGATCACTTCCCTACCGTGCGCTTTGCTCCTCAGAGCATGCAGAGGGAATGATGTAGAAATGGGGCTTTATTAACCATACAAGGCCCATATATAATATCTGTACTTTTTGGCCTGCTGAAGAGCTACATTAATGCTTCAGAGTGCTCAGGGAGCTGCAGGGACGTTACCACCGCTGCTGCAGAGCAGTCTGAGCACAGCTCTGCGAAAAACTTCACCCCCAGTTATTTTTACACCAGAATCCTTCATTCTCACACACATCTCCCTGGAAGAAGCCTCTTATCGCTCTAATTAAGGCTGCTAGCATCAAAGAACTCTCCACGGAGCTCCCGTGAGCAGGGGAGCCCCAGTTGTGTGTTCCGCCTGCCCGCAGCACCCCACCACTCACCCCAAGCTGCAGCCCGTCGTACTGCTCCGGCACCAAGTCCTGCTGCTCCACCAGCTCCAGGCACGACTCACTGCAGAAGTCCAGCAGCACTGCCCCCACGAAGTCAGCCAGGATGCCATCCATGTGCCACCAGCACAGGGTGGCCCCCAGCAGCTCAAATGTGCCTAAGCTGGGCCCACAGGGCGAGTGCAGGCAGCGGGGGGGAGATGGGGTTTGCAGGCATGAATCCCCCCACCCAGAACCCAGGTGGGAGCACAGGTGAGTGAACCACTAATTGGGCTTATGCCAATGGTGAGAAACAAAAGTGATCAGCAAGGATAGCGAGCAGCTGCCTTGTTATGTGTGTCCCGCACCCTTGTAGTGAATCTCAGCTGTGGCTGCAATGCTCTGATCAAGGCAGGTGGAAAGGCAACTTGCCCAGTCTCAGAAACTGTAAAGGAGAATTCAGACGTTCCTCTGGCTGTGGAGCTTGCAAAGGAAATGGAAATTTATTATTTTCCTCCTCCTAGGCCAGGAAACAGGTAGGCATGATTTACATGTACCCAGCAGCCAGACAGCATTTTGTAACAGCTGTAGGGAAGAACACCCCCAGCTGTAGGAGAGGGAGAGCACATTAACCTATAAAACTGGATTTGCTCTAAACATGTAAGGCCAGGGCTTCTCCAAAACTGACTTGGAAAGCTGGGGTATTTTTAGATCCTGTTCTTCCAGGATGGGGGAGGGTGAAAAAGGCACAGTCCCTCCTGCACACATAGTTCTGTACAAAACCCCGCGCTGCGGCTTATCACACAGCAGATACCCTCCGGGACGGCAGAGCACGTGATCACTTGGTCTCCCTTATACCCCCTTTTTGGTCAGGATCTGATTTATTTTTGTGACAAGAAACTTTCGTTTCCTCTATTTTCTTGAGAAGGAAATATTTCTGGTAAAGCAGATTACATGTATCGAGCCATAGTGCATGCTTCTCTGTTCTAGAAGATAAAGAGAAGTCAGACACTTTCTTCAACGGGATGATGGCATGTGGTGGTACCTCCAGGTCAGGTGTATGAACTCACCTTTTCTGCTCCATCCCACCTATGTCAGAGTAAGGCAGGTCTGCTGAGAGCAACGTGGAGCCAAACCCATGAAATAAAACCCACACAGGAAACACTGCTTCAAAATTTCTATATTATTTACTTTAAGCAACAGTCCAGCTTCGTGAAATTACAACACACACTTTAAAGGATGAGATTTTCACCTCATGGTCAAGCACCAGCATGATCATGCACAGCATTGAGTCAGTTGTAAAAAAAATGCCCTGTAATTTTTATTTATTTATACGATCCACTCCACCTTCACTGATTAAAGTCTGAATAAATCCCCTCCTAGCATCAGGCCAGGCGGCTCTGGTCATTAGCCCTCTATTTGGCACATACCCTGCTTCGTAGTAGTCTAGTACCAAGATTATTTTGTTTTATTTTGTTAAAGGCAGCATGGTGTACACTAACCACTTTAAATGGCACAGCAGGGCTCAAGGCATTTACCACATGCAGACAATGAATTCTTTTAGATCCCCAGAACTCACACGTGGAGGAAGGGACCACACTTACTGATTGTTTGCTGGCCTCTTTAACCAGGACTCTAGACCCTTTGTAAAGCTAAGGGGTTCTAAAAATCTCAGTACAAAAACCCGCTAAGCACATTTAGAACCAATCTACTCTCCTTTGAATTACATTACTATACTTCATAAAGCTTTCCCTCAAGTCTATCACTAGAAAACACTCATGTCACTTCCAGTAGATCTGGGGGAAACACAGGACAGAAGTGGAAAAAAAAAAAAAACACAACAAAAACAAAACTTGATCTCAAAAAAGGATGGAGTACATAAAGTGCTTCTTTTAATGAAAGAAATTCGAGATGTACAGTCAGGCTCAAGTTGTGCAGTTCACAAGCATGGGGGAAAAGAAACAGACACGAGTTCAAAACAGTCAGGAAAGAAAGGAAAGGTTTAACCAAGGACTAGGCTGGACTTGCCACCAGGTGGATTTCTCCTGGACGGTGCAGGTGCTGGTGCTACTGGGCTAGGAACAGGTGCAGCAGGCAGGGATTTTTCTTCATTCTGACCTGGGGCAGCTTCTACATCAGCCTCAGTGTTTTCTAAAAGAAAAGAAGCTTTTAAGGTATTTGATGTAGATAATGAAAGCCAGAGGTTTCTCTGGCTTAGACAGAAGATCAGCCCCACAAAGTTTTCTCCAGGCTTACAAACACACTCAGAGAGTGCTGCTGTAATCTGCTGCCATGACAGACTTTCAGCTGCCTGAAGTATTTTTCAGAACTCTGATGCCTTACAGTTCAGTTTCAGGCATTCAAGAGTCACAGTCACTCAGCCACTATTAGGGGACCACAGAATTATTTTTTTATGACAAGCAGCTACAATTAAGTCATGTACACAGTCAGTGTGCAACCACCCTAACAATTTCAACTCAATCTGAGCAGTTGCTGGAAAAAAAAGCATCAGTGCTGGGAAGCAAGAGCTCAGATTCAAACTACATTCCCAATTTCGTAACTGGTATTTAGAGGGAAGAGTGTCTGACACACGCTTCTGAGGCTTCACACAGAACAGACTGGGGAATATCCATGCATGGGTAGGCTCGAGTCTTACATTCCCTGGAAAGCACATGACAGCGTCATCTGCTTTAAATACTTCGGAACAACCACAAGTGAAGACAGGACACAGGAGGAATTCTTCACAGGAAGCACTTTAGATACTCTAGCAAATAACTAATATATTAATTAATTGTCGATGAAGTAGATAAGGACAGCAAGATCATTAGCACCTCATATTTCTTTTTATAAATTAATACAATCAGTTTTGATCCAAAAGCCTAAATCAGCTCCACGATGTCTTCTGATGCTTGGGGGTGTGGGTGCATGGCCAGCTCTGTGAATATGTATTTCATCTGCTTTTAACAGATCTTAGTTTCATCTAATCAACACTAACTCTCTTTTTGGAGGATTTGGGAAACATCTGCACATTCATCTTAACCGGTACCATCATGATTTTGCTCATCTTGATTATGTTCCCTCTCTCCCAGCCTTCTTTTCAAGGTGGTGGAAAATGCACCACCATTTTAGTCCCCTCGCAAGGCAGCTGCTCTACCTCCGTGATCTTTTCTGCTGCCTTCCTCTGCCCCTTTTCTTTACCCCCACTACAACCATCTGGTCTTCACACTTCAGGGACTGCATACACAACGCAAGATGCAGGCATTCTGTTATTTAGAGAAGCAAAACGCCATCTTCTTTCCAGTTCTCTTCCAGATGACATGCAACTATTTGTTGCCTTCCTCCAAACATTTCAAAGAATTTTCAGTAGTTAAACACAAGGCAGATCTTGAGAGTTAACTACTGCACAGAGCCAAACATGGGACTGGCATGGTTTACATGGTATTTTCCTAGGTGGTTTAAGTTACTATTTTTTCCTACTTACTCATGCAAAGACCTTTTAATCTGCCCACTTTGTTGAGTCCTTCTGACCGTAAGATTTTTCTCACCATCAGCACATTGAAAGAGCTTAGCTATCACCAACAAAATTGGAGACTTCACTGTTCATTACCTTTTCCAGGTCATGGATGAAGACACTGAATAAAACTAGTCCAGTCCCAGCACCACTTCCCATGGCTCATTTTTCCAACCTGAAAAGCAATCACTAAGCCCTACTGTTTGCCTCCTATTATTTAGCTATTTTCTAATCCACAGGAGATGCTTTAATCCAATGCTGTGGCAATTTACTGTTGTTTTTGAAGTGTTTTTTTTTTAAATAACTTTTGAGGCAGGGTTTTATCAGAAATGCAGAAAACCCACTCGTGGGGAAACCCACTCAAAGAACCTTATAACAAAGAACCCTAGCAGCTTAGCATAACCTCCATGCAGCCAGATAATTTACAGTATAGATCCTCTGCTGCATTCATTAACCCACGGACACATCTGAACAAAATAGTTTGAATACTAAGTTTTAAGCTTGAAGCTTCTGCAGCTCAAGCATACCACTGCCTGCTTACTCAGCAAGCTGAGAACAACTGTGGCCATGCCCGCTGCTCGGACAGCACTGAATGCTTCATTGTCTGTGCTTCAAGCAGACAGCCCAAGCACTGTGAAGTACTCGCCATGATAATCTGTCTACTGAACATCAGACTTCACCTTCCAGTGCATCATGTAAAGGCAGTCACTGGTGACAGTCAATTATGCACTGTCTAGTTCTCCTTAGCTAGTCACATACATCAGCTACACAGCACTAACCCAATCACAGAAGAAACATGAATTACTATCACAGGAGAATTTGGGGAAGTTTCCATAGCATGTTAGAGACTCGTTTAGCCAGCTGACACATGCAGTAGATCTTCCCACATAATCAAGGTATAGCACAGTTTACTAACCTAGAAACTGAGGTGGTAAAAGGCAACAGGATCGGATCAAATATTGAAGTCTTTCCCTTATCAGAAAGGATGTAACCTCTCAGTCAGTTTGCCAGTGAGTACACTGCAAACTATTGGAACCCTTCATGCACAAAAAGGAACTACAGATTCCAAACAGGAAGCATGAACACTTCTGCAAAAGGAACAACTCTTCTTCCCCTAGACAGACATAATTAATAAAAATGCACATCCCACCTGACACCTACATGGGGTTTTAACATCAGTTACATAGAGAAAATCATTTCCAAATGCAGAAGAGGAAACTTTTAATGATGGGAGCCTATTACAAATCTAGTTATGCTGTGAATTTATAAGCCGACAGCTTTTATTTAGAGGCATATTCATCCCATTTCAAACCCAGGAGACAGCTATGCAACGTCAAGTGCAAAATGACATGTGCAACAAGTGGGATGTTCACCATCCAGTGCCTGCCATCTCACACAGCGGGAATATCAAGTGGTTGGTGGAGTGAAACAGCCAGCTCAACAGGACTCTGTGCTCCATTAAGCTAAGATACCCAAATCTATCAAAGGGAGAGATTAATTTAGCAATGCATTGAGATTCTCAGGTGTCTGCCATATACACCACCTCCAGGAACCATTAACTTCCTACTCCTTCCTAAGTACCACCAGTGGAAGTTGAACAGCCAAACGTGCCCACCATTTCATTTTGCCATGTCTGTCTTCAAAAGTTTAATTTTTAGTCAACAGCAGACAACTCCAGTTAGGAACACTAACTTGGTGCTACTGTCCAATAACAGATTGCTCATTTAGTTATTTGGGAAACCACTTCCCAGCATAGATATACTCGGTACTTGATAAGGGCTTCCTTTATTGTCACCTTCTGGAAACAAACCAAAGGCCAACAAATATTAGACCTGTGAAAGTGGGAACTTGTAAGAGTCAGGAATATCAGTTTGTACTCAAAGTTTCAGTCAGGTGTTGCTAACCCAGGCAGCTGTATTTCTGCTGCCTCCAATGCCACCTCTTCTTGCCTCATCACTCCTTGCACGCTGTCTTCTAACCCCAGAGTGAGCTGCTTTAAGCAAGTACCAGGAGAAGGAGCAGAGCCCTCAGACCAGGGCAATTCTGTTATCAAACCACATTCTCCTACCTAAGGCACAAACTCTAAATGCCCACTAGGGTGCTAATTAAGATCAGACAGACAAGGGAAAGACAGACTAAAGCAGCCTTTATAGTTTTATTAGAAGCAGTGATGTTGCCGGAGGAGAAAGACTTATTTTGGCCAGAGATACCACTTAGAGGTAGTTAATAAGCACTCTGGAAAACCTCTCACCCTCCCAGCAGATGTCTGCTCAGGATATGGAACTGCTAATAGCTGTAGCGATCTTCCACAGCTCTTAGGTGTTAGAAGTAACGCATAAACTACTTGGTCAACACACACATTCCTCACATCAGGAAGTAGCTATTCTTAAGGTAAATCTTAAAAAGGAGAGATTTCCACCCTCAGAGCAAAAAAAACACAAAAAAACCTTCAAGGTAAAATGTATGCTGCTAGGGGAAGTTCCTCTGTTTACATGAAGGATTCAGTATGCATATGCACTTCCTTGGCAAAAATTAGCATTTAAAAAAGCAACTTAAGGAACTTAAAAGCTAGTTAATGCAGATGCTTTCAGATGCAGTAGCTGTTCCTGCTTATTTCTGTGCATCAAGCATTTGCTGTGTGGAAAAACACTATGGAAAGAGGTAAACTGCTGAACTAAAATCTATGAAGTTGACTGTACTCTTTAATTGTAAACTCCTAAAAACAGAATTGTAGTCTTTCAATGACTTAAGTCTTTGCAAGAAGGTACCCACCTTGCCTTCTAGTACTTAAACAAATCTCGACACCAGCTGCTGCTGGCAAAATAAACGAACAGGACTGTTCTTGTCTCTAACCTGATGACTAAACAGAGGCATTCTGCCACTGCATTCCATATCCACTCTTACCAACTTCCACTGAAGTAATGAGGTCATGATATTGATTTGATGGATTCCAGGGAGAACCCCAGGCTGTCTGTCTTGAGAGAAACCATTTGTATATCCCATGACCTCTTCTATTTCAACGGAGAATAAGTACAAACTGTTCTACTGGAAGAGCCTGAAGGAGTTACTCACCAGAAGTTTCACCACCACCATCTCCTCCCTAGAAGAGAGAGAGGAACACGTTATATCTCATACTCCAAGAAGTATTTTCCCCCTACCTCCATCAAAAGGGTACTCAATACTTGCTGCGGCCAGACAAAGCTGGTCAAGCGTGCTGCTCTGCCCAACAACACTCTGACAGACCCAATGAAGAACTTTAAGAGCAAGAACAGGCAGATAGGAGAGCAGAGGAAGCAGGTATCAGAGTAGCATGGCTGGTTCTAGATACATATTTATGCAGATTAATATGATGGGTTTGTAAGCACCAGTTCTCTCACAGTGACTAATTTAAATTTTAATCAACTGCTTATTTACCTGACATACTTTTAAAAATTTAAACAGACAGATAGTACCGAAGTAATCTTGATGACCTGTAACACATGGTACACTTGTTGCTCCCACACTGTGAAGGATGCAGGTGTCTTACAGCACTATTATATACAGCATCCTTCATCAGGCAGAACTGACAGTAACCAGATCGTTGCAATTGCCAAGCAGTAACGACAAAAAAATCATACTCAAAGCAATTAGAAATATTTTGGTGTTCCCTCCTTTCTTCTAAGCAAATCTTTCCAACACCAAACATTTATCTGTTAGCAAGGTCAAGAATATTTGTTCCATCCAAGATATTTAACTTCTTTTTTGTGAAACATCAAGAAGTTTTTTTACAGATAAAGCTTCCTTCATTACACAAACAGCTAAACATTCTTTTCATACTCATTGGGTTCAGACTGTAACAACACAAAGATACAGAAAGTGCTCCAGCAGCAAAGGCTTCTCAATGGCATGAGGTTTTATCTACTTCTATAGACTTAACATTGTTAATTACACAGTGAGCCTGCAGTTGTTAGGGTATTAGTACACAGCAATGCATGTAAATACATCCCCTTAAATCTCAGACTGGGCTGTAGTACATTAGCTTCTGCTGTTTGTAACTTTAATCACTGCACAAAATTAAAGTATTCTGCATCACAAGAATCCTGTTTGCAAAGCTGAGAACCACAAGACAGAGTATTTAATACAATTAAGTAGAAAATAGAATTAGACTAAAGAGTTTACTTTTGTTTTCTGTGGTAGCAGCTATAAATTTAATCTTGTATTTGCTAAATTGGAACAAGATATTTTATGCAACAATGAACAATTCTGTGGCTTATTGAAGCTATTAATAACAAAATGGGTTAAACTGATGATTGATGCCAGTTATCAAAATAAAACTTGCTATTTATAACCCATGAGGTTATACCCAAAAGGTATCTATACAAGATTTAAGTGGTGATTTACCTACAAAATTCTGTTCTGGAAAACCTAAAGCTCTTTAGGTTTAGGTTTAGGCTTAGGTCTAAAGCTCAAGAGGTTTATTTTTTTTCACCTATGAACTTTGGTTTTGCAAGTGCAGTCTGTTCCAGGTTTCACTTTTTTTTTCTTACGTTCAGAGGAATTATTACTTTATGTCCTGTTTTTGCCATTAACTATAATCATACATCAATCAAAAGCCATGTTAACACTATAAATTATGCTCCATATTGCTATCAAGTAGTTTACATAGAAAATAACACTTACTGAAGAGAGTAACAGAAATAAAACAAGCATTCATGCCACTGAGGGGCATGGTGATGTGATATGAAACCAAGTCCCTTGCAAGTCAATAAATCCACACAGTTCAGAGTAGGTAACTATTGTTTGTACAATCTGTTAAAAATAATTAAAACAATTAATGCTAAAGTGAGATCTCACACCGCTTCATTACTGTCCATCAATAAGAAGGAGTTAAGGGCTCTAGAAAGCACCCCTTTGAGAAAAATCCAAGCCTCCACCAGCACGCTGTAAGACTATCCTACAGAACAGAGAACCTTCAGGGCAAGAACAGGTTTGAGAATAAGACTTTGAATTCTGCAACAATTTCAACTGAGCAACTATCAGTGATAAAGCAATGACATACAGAGAGCAAAGTATCCCCTTATCAGGCTCTTTGTAGTTCATGTACTGACCTTTGGATCTACAAAGTCTCCATAGTTAGCATCAGTTGAGTTTCTTCTTTGTGGTCCAGAGGATTCACTGTCTTCTCTGATTTCACCTGGCTTAGTCCCTAGAAGCAGAGATTGATTCCAATCAGGTTGCAAGATTAACTTACTGGGAAAGCAGATGAAAACCGATGTGGTGCTCTTCTTTTGTAAATGACAGCTTTACCACCCTGAGGTTTGTCCTGGGTCTTTACATAATGACTCACAAATTACAATTGTATGGCTGCATCTCGTGCAGGGTCCCAAGGCCAGCCTTACTGGAAATGCTCTGCAGAAATGGAAGCTTAACCCCAGCTGCAAGCACAACACAAAGCTAAACTTCCTCTGATTAATCAAGATCAGTGGTCATCCACATACTAAGAAACAAGTTCACCCTATTGTAACATGATTAATCTGGAGATACCATATCCAAAATGCATTCCTCTTAGCTATCTGCTTGCAACACCTATGTCCAAGACATACAATAAAAGGTAATTTTGAAAAAGAGTTTGAAAGTAATTCAAAAAAGAAAAATTCCCATGCAAGTAGACATCATTTCTAGCCCCAAACTACCAAATAGGAGGTTAATTCAGGTTTCCACACGCAGACACCAGCAGCTCCAGGCCAATACCAAGAATGGATTAATGCATTTCAGCAGAACTAGGAACAAAGCACGACATTCTTACCCGATGATTTAGCCCAGGAAGGTGGATTTTCTTCAGGAGTTCCAAAGATGCTGGATGCCATTTTGTTCCTTCGCACGGGTTGTTCTTTTGGTTCGTCAAAACCCAGAGAAAAGTTGGACCCGCCACCAGGAGGACGCAGCACTCTGCAGAAAGATTCAACTTTACAACCTTGGGTCTTTATAATCTGCATTACTGAGCAGCACTCTAACATGTAAAACAAGACTAATAAGCTAAAAGATCATTGTTGGCTCTTGTAATAGGCAGATAGTTGCATGGGCTACATTCTGCCCAAATGGGAACTACGTGAGATGACTGTGTTAAGCACTGGCTCTTAATAAATGCCACTGTTATGTCTTCAGTGCATAACTCAACCTATAAAGCTAAATTGCTTGCCAGCATTCAGACAAAATACTACGTCGCCACTGCTCTTCTTTGGTGACATTTATCAAAAGCAAAGCAAAATACTCCTGTATCTTACTTGTGTCCTTGCTTCACTTGGTGTCAACAAGAGCTGCCACCAGTCTTCAGTGTCTGACCAAATTAAATATATATATAATTATACAGGCACACCAGAATCCAGCTTTTTTTAGAGAACCCTATGAAGGCAATTAATCTTCAAATTGGCAGCACAGCAAAGACTAAAGTTTGGCACATGAGTCAAAGTGCTGGTTGCATCACTGATGACTGGGCTATGGCCTCTATCTGGATTTGTTTCATCAGAAAAACCCTTAGGCCTGCAGCGTGCTACTGGACTGAGCTTAAAGAGATTTGAGCACACCAAGAGAAACGTGCTTTCAAGACACGCAGTGCCCTCAAAGGAAGACCAGAACAAGCCAGGGAAGGTGCATACTCCCTCTTCTTTTCTAATAGTTTAATTGAGATGCAATACAAAAACACTTCTCCAGCCTACAGTACTCAAGACAATGGCAAGAAAAAATGACAAAGGTGTTGGACGTGAATATTTAGTGTTACTAAACTAGCTAACTGCTTTTTGTTACAAAATTCCTTTCCAAATATATAATTAATAATGCTCAGGAGCTAATGGGAGGATCCCACTATTGTGTAATATGCTTTATGAATCCAAGAACACTTTTGTGATTTGCTGCTTCTCCTTTCTGAATTAAGGGATATAGTACAATGGTCTTGAATCACTTCGTTACCTTTTTTCCCCCGAAGGAAATGTCCCTGTGTATGTATTTTCTTGGTTGCATCTGTTACACTTAATAATTTGAAGAACAGATTGTTCAAAAAGAGGGCTCATCCCCTCATCTTACGTCACCTCATTTTACCACAGCAGTGAAACCAGTATTCTCTTAGCAGCATGGCAGTTTCCACAGAAGGTCTTAATGAAAGTAACAGAAAAGGCAATTGAAGCAAAAAGGCAAATCACTCAAGCTGCTTAAGAGAAGCAATCACTTTTGCCAATCCAAGACAAAAGGTTGACAGATTTTATTAGAAGCTTCTCTCGACCCTGAGATGCTTTAACATGCTTCATCACAGCTACAACTCACACTTCAGGCAATGAAGTGTTCTTAAAATTGCACCTGATACCCAGGGATGTGCACTGAAAATTCATCCACGTCCAGGAAGCACTTGTCAAGACGTTTTTCTTTTTTTTTTTTTTCCTCCACCCCAAAGAAAAAAAAAAAATAGCTACAAGCGAACAGGAAGCATCTGCTTTGTCAGGCCATAAACCTTACAGAAAAGGCAGCCGCCAAGGCTCGGTGCTGAAGGCGAGCCTGCCCTCGCTGCTGCAGCATCCAAAGGCACCCTGCACGCCTGCCCAAGTGCCCTGCATCCCTTCCCTTCCAGCCGGACTTGGCAAGTTTTCTTTGTTCCGAGCAGGGCCACGGCTTCTTCCACGATGCTGCTGCCTCCCCTCTCCCCACCCAGCTCCCCTCGGCTGTGGGGTGGGAGCCGGGGCAGGGCTTTGGGTCCCCTCCTCCCCGACCCCGAGGGTCTCTCAGCCCGAGCAGCCGCCCGGGGGGAGGGGGGGAAGCCCACCCAAACCCCTCGGCGGGGGGTGCACGAGGTGGGGGGGCCCCAGAGCAAGACAATGGCGCCCGCCCCCGGCCGCGCCCAGCCCCAGGAAACCCCCGGGGCTGCCCCCACCGAGGGGCCGGGGAGAGAAAAAGGGGAGACGGGGGGAAAATGGGGAGGGGGAACCGGGCGCGGTGCCCCCCTCCCCTCGCCCCCTCCCCCGGCTGTGGCTGCGCAGCGCGGAGGGAGTCGCCTCCCTTCTTTGTTAGGAGGCGGCTGAGGCAGGCGGGAGGCCCGGGGTGGGTGTGGGGGTGGGAGCTCCCCCCGCCCCCGGCCCCACACAGCCCCACACGCAGCGGGCAGACGCGGCAGGACGCGGCCTGACCCCCCCCGGTACCCTCCTCGGACCCCCCCCCCCCCCCGTACTCGCCGGGACCCCCTCAATTCCCCCGAACACCCCCGGTGGGTGCCCAACGCCCCCCTCCCCTCAGCCGCTTCCTCCCCCGAGGCTCTGACGGGACGGGAAAGCCCCGGCCCCCGCCGCCCTAACGGTCCCCTAACGGCTCCCTAACGGTCCCCAGGGCCGCCGCCGAGCCCCGCTCCCCCGGCGGACCTGGAGCTGTTCCTGCCGCTGGGGTCCATGCCCGAGAAGGTGGTGGTGGTGGTCATGGCGGCGGGCGGGAGGAGATGGAGGCAGGGGAGAGGGCTCCGTGAGGAGGCCGGCGGGAGGTGACGGTCCCGGGAACGGAGCGCGCCCCTTCCCCCCTCGGACCCTGCCGCTGCTGCTGCCGGTGACAACTGCAGCCGCCGCCCGCACCGGCCGCGCCTTTTATAGCATCCCTAAGGCCCGCCCCCTGGAGGCTTTCTCATTGGGCGATTCAAACTCAATCCTCAGCTCCCATTGGACAACGCCTTGCCATTCTGCCCTTTGGCCCGCCTCGCCGTCTTATTCCGAGGAGCCTGGGCTCAGCCTTAAAATCCCATTGGTGAAGCAATACGTCTGCTCTCCGGCGATTGGCTGCGCCTGGGGTGGCGGCGCCCTTTGTTGGTGATTGGCGGGAGGGCGTGTCGCTCAGGGGAGGCGAGCTGCGATTGGCTTAGCCGCGCGTGAGGCGAGACAAAAGTCTCCGCGGCCCTCCCCTGGCGGCGGAGGCCGAGGGCTGTGAGGAGCAGCCCCCGCTCACCCCTCCCCCCCCCAAATCACCTCAGGAATCACCTCAGGCGCCCACCGGCCCCTCGCCCCCGTCCCCACCCCGGGAGGGGACCTGGCCCCCGGGAGCTCGGTTCCCTCAGAGTACAGCGCAGCCCCCGAGCCCTGGAACAATAGGCAGGGAGGCCGCGGAGGTGCTGAGGTGGCCGGGTGGGGCTGAGGCGGCTCCCGAGGCTGCTTCCACCGCCTGCAGCCGGCGGGCGGCTCCGGCAGGGCCAGCCCCAAGCCCCCCTCAGCACATTTCGGAGCTGAGGGGCGGGCTGGTCCAACGAGGCTCGTGTCCAGCCCCGCTGCCTGCACAAAGCTGCACCAAACCCACCTTCAGCTCGGTGACTGAGGCCCTCCCGAGCTCCACTTAATGCCCTCCAAACACTTGTCTCCAAATAAAAGTTTTCTAAAAATATGTAATACGTGTTTTTTGTCTGAAAACTGCAAGCTCTAGAGGATTGTGCTGCTCTGCTCTGTTTACAAAATGAGATCAAAGTGACTGAATTATCGTCAGCTGAATTATCATGCCTTAATATCAATACAACTCAGAAAAGAGTTGAATGCTAAAGCTACACAAGCAGGGCCATAGTATTTTATTTTTATATAGGATCTATAAAAATGTTAGAAAACAGAACCTCACTATCACTACTTAGATCCCCAGGGAATTCTGTCACATCTTTCAGGAGGTGGATTAAAGGGAAGTTTTAAGCAAGATGACACAGTTGTCTTAATTCTATTATCCCTTAGGGTTGGGCATTAAAGTAAGTGATACCTACTTGCAAGCAGGTAAGCCTCTGCTCTCTTGGGAACTTTCAACAGTATTTTATCATCGAAAAGCTTTCTATTCCAACCCACAGGATCTGAATCTTGAGTTTGAAAACTGTTGTAGCCCTGAGACATGCAGAGCTTTTTTTTTTTTTTAAAAAAAAAAAGTCCATATGAAGAAAAACCCGTTCCCTCTGACAAAGCTAGTTTTAAAATAGCTTTAAGATTCTAAAGCTTCAGTATTTCCAAGGGACTCCACTGATCTCAGAGGTGCTGAGACAGTCGTGGCTGCAGGTTATTCTTTAAATAAAAGCTGCTTTGCCAATTATTTACCCATAACGAGATCAAGGGCTTTATGAAGATTGCTACAGAAACTGGGCTTGCAGTCCTTTCCAGGATGATGACATTTGACCAGAACAATTCTCAGCAGCTGTTTGAAAACCTCAGAAACCAAACAATTCCACCTGTTGCTGAAACTCATCGTGCAATGAATGCAAAAAGCATCTGGAAGTCTGAACAACACTCCAGGAAATGCATAGCAGGGCTGGGCAAGGAGATGCCACTGGCTTGTGAAAACATTCGGCTTGATGATCCTCCTGTGGCCAAGAGGTTTTTCTTCATACGTATCTGCTATTTGTGACAAAAGACATTCTTTTTCCGAGCACATCATACAAAAGAGGTTTTGACTCAGTCTCGTCTTCTTCCATCAGTTCATTCATAGCTGTAAGTAGGAAGTAAGCCTCAACTTGTAATTTCTGTTACAGCTGGATTCCGAGCAATCCAGGCTTTGCATCTGAAGTGATGTGTGGTGAAGTTCAGTGGGATACAGGTGCCAAGTTTGTCCTACTGAGCAGACGCTGTATTTTGCAAGAGTTGTGAAAGTTGCTTTGGTGCTTCTCTACATCTTCAGGTAAAATTCCTAACAGTAAGCTGCAGTTTGGGAGGGAGGTTTGAACCACAATGTCCAGACTTCTTTCAAAGCTGCAGAGATGTAGTTCCAAACAACACAAAAAGCAGAGCGATTCCTGCTGCTTTCTTGTCTGAGCATCAATTATTACCAACTCTGGCAGTGTACTCCAAAAAGCATTGTTGTTTAGTGAAAAACAGACATCCATCACTGGAAGGGGAAATCAGTATCTTGACAGATTCCTTGAGTTCCTTTTATTCCATTTTTGACTTGAGTTTGTTTAAACTGCAAAATTTTCTTAAGTGATCCTACAAGAGGCCTTGCAGGGCATCACATCTATGCCTTAGATTCTCCCTTTCAGCATCCAGTCCATGAAAAACAGCACTAAATCCATCAGAAAGGGTATCCTTTGCCCCCTTTTCCCCCATCCACCTGGAGAATATTCCTTTCCTAATGAGCAACAATCTTCTTAGTACTGTATGTGGGCATCCACAGGCTTAGTCTTTCCCCAGGACTTCAAAGTCACCCTTCTATCAGGATTAATCCTTTGTCAAAACCTACAGCTCCTCCCAAAGTCCCCATTTCCCCTGCAGCTCCTGGGCAGCTCATACTTCTGCTCTCTTTCTACCACACCAACCCTCATTACTTCTAGGACCTCTGCTGTCGGTGAGCCACTACTTCAGCAGCCCCACCAGTCCTAATTTACGCCTCATGCATGAGCTAAAATTCTTTTTCCAGGGAAAACCCCGTAAATCCCTCTCTCAAAGGGACTTAAAGCATTTTATAAGCACCAAGTAGGCCTCCCAGCATCTCCATGTTAGAGTAAAACCATCAGTCCCAAACTACCAGTGAAGAAACCAGGAAACCTCTGAAACGAAGGATCTTGAAGGCCAACCAAAGGCTGAAAATGGACCAAATCCCAGTCTTCCGTCCCCTATTTATCCTCACATTCCTACATCTTCACCATCAGGGACAAGTGCTGTACTACCAATTAATTATGACATTAAGTACCAAAAAAAGATAAATTAGAGGATTAAATTATTCACTAACAGAACGCATTGTTTGCCAACAAGTTCACAGCCAGAAAGAACAAGCCTCAGTAAGCCACCGACTGACGTGTATTAGGTCAGTGGTAATACAATTCAAAATAATCCAAGTTATTTCACTTTTTATCTTTTTTTGTTGTTGCTCCAGAACAGTCTATCACACAAGCTGATATAAGCATACTGAGAAGAGGCCACAATCTAAAACTCTAATAAAAGTCCTCCAATTTATTGTTCACTTTCAATAGGAAGTATTATTTCTTTGGGCCAGTCACATTACACCTTTTCATTAATGTTGCAGTGATGGTCACAATAGAACCTGCAGACAAAGCGACAGCACTTGGATTACACTGCTTGACTCAGATGTAATGAGGGGAAGGTACTAGAAAGAAATACTCTCGTGAAAATAATGTTTGACCATAACCTCTGAGGAGATGTTGCATCTGTTTTGATACCACTGTTACCTTGGAGCAGCAATTATTTTAGTACTGCTTCAGAGAATTTCTTTTGAGAACATCTCCATATGTCAGTGCAGGAATCTCTCGTTACCACTTGGAGTATTTCCTTACAGCCTTAGCAGTTTAGCATATTCCATTTCAGAAACACCTTGAGCTTCTAGAACCCTTTTTGAATCAGCTTCTTAGACCACTAAATACTGATGCTCACAAATGCCCTTTCAAATGGTTAGTGGCCCCACTGAGCAGGTAAACTAAGGTGCTGATTTTCAGGCATTAACTGTATAGGGGTTCCACCAAAATCATCTGTGCTTTCAATTCGTTATTTATTGCCCCTGTACATAAAAGAAAATGTCTTTCTTTAGGTACCAGAGTCCAAAACTTCTGGATACATCTTTTTAAGTAACTGGAAAAACAAACAACACTTGTGTCCATTCCACAACTGACACTGCAATTGTTTGCCAGACTGAAGACACAGTGTACACAAAAGGCAAAGTCCTATCATCCACAAGGACTTGCTAAACTATTGTACGCAATTATGACTTCCATTTTTTCATTTAAAAACCACATGAGGAACATTAACTTAATTGCATTGCAATCACTTTAGAATATGATATTTGAAAATTGTGAGTAATAATATGATTTGCCCAGGCTCTTGAAAGATCCCAGCTGTTTAATAAACACGAAAAACTTACCTGTCAACTAGTGTGACAAGACCTCTTTGCCAGTTTTCCTTTATCCTCTGACATGCGGACTTCTAGTAGTCCACTGGGCTACTAGTGTAAACACAAGAACTGTTAGAAATTAAACCAGGGCAAGCAGCTAAAAGAACTCCAAATAACTGGATCCAAGCTCATAGTCTATACCCCTGTACTTAACTGCAGTCACCATCTTACAGAAACATCACTCAGTACTGTTAGAAGAACTTTCAGAAACATCAGGAGCCAGCTCAGATGAAGAGCAAAAAAAAATTCTCACTTTTTCTAACATCTAAGTGAAAGGATCAATACCTGTCCATTTCTTTCAATAGCCTGTTGCTGAATACTACAGGAAACTTCAGCTTATGGTGAATTAAGGAGTATTTCCACAGCTGCCATGTCAATTCAATGTTACAGAAGCCTATGTTTTTCTTATATTTTTTCACAGAGGAATTTTGGTTAGCTAGTCACAATTCATGTTAAGTGGTCTCCTTTTATTAAGGGAACATTATATTTACAAGAGGCCTGCACCTAAGTTAATGACAGATCAAGTACCATTGTATGAATTTATGAAACTAAGACATTGTTTCTGAAAGCATGCTGCTCAATACCTGTCACTTGACTTTTATTGCCTCAGGAAAAAAATAGACAAGATACAGCAGGGAATTTTTAGCTTCACAGTCTTAACTTGGGTTGAAAAAGCTGTATTTAAGGAGACCTCACCCCTTCTTCCGAAACTAAAGCAAGTCCAAACA